CCACATCCTCTCCAGCACCTCCTGTTTCCTGACTTTTTAATGATCGCCATTCTAACTGGTGTGAGATGGTAACTCATTGTGGTTTTGATTTGCAAGAAAATTATTCTTCATTCATATTTGAAACAAACAAGTTTCTTATTTGTTCACCTAATAAAATAGACGCTTGGTTATCAAGTCTTTATTGCTCACAAATTAGGGAAATCACAAGAAAAAACTAATTGATACTTTCCAAAGGAAATAACTTTTATGAAGCCCGAAAGCAGAATTTTAAAAACTTAAAATGCCAGCATATTAATTGTTCTTATCCTAGACAAAAAACTGAAGCTAGTATGTGTTGCTTGAGGAGTTTTGTTTAACAAAACCATAGTGCATTATAAATGTACTGTGTATAAGTGACAAGTGATATTGCCTACTTTTTATTTTATTACTCCATCATGTTCTGACACAATCTTTTATTAAGGTGAGACTGCTACAATCAGATAAACTTACCTCTTGGCCATATAATTTTCTGCTGCTCCAAAGTATGTCATCAAAGAAAGCAAAATACGACAAGGTTAATAGTGTGTTTACTAGACAGCAACTACAGCATTATGAATGCTCAATTAATGTTTAGACTACATTAGTGCACTTCACAGGAAATGTATGATATTGGAAAACATAATGCACACTATTCAGAAGCAGTTCTTTTTCACTAAAGAAAAATGTGTTGGCAACTGCTCCGTTTCCATGGATTTATGATTCTAATAGGTCCTGAAAATATAGCCCAATCCTTGCCAAAATCTCACTTGTGCTTTATATCAGTAACATGCCCTCTATCCCTGCTTATGCATTTGAGAAACAGAAAAACAACACAATTCGTTAAAAATCCACTAATTAGAACTCCAGAGAACTGATTCTGGGGAGGGGAAGATGTACGGGAGCTGACACCTAACTTATTTTATTTTTATGGAAAAAAGAAAATTGCACAAAATTATGTGAAATTGAAAAAAGAAGCAAACATTTTCCAGAATATGTTTGAAAGTGTATAGTTCAAATTTAAACCGTTTTTAAACATTTAATGGTATTAAATCACTTCGGGAGAACTCAATCAGCAAGAAGGATACAATTCTCTCCAATGTTCTACTTACAGAGAGAAGCATATTGTACATTTAATTCTTAAATTCTGGTACCTGCAATACAAAGAGGAACTGGGAGATTTAACCCCTAGTTAACTAAAAAATCAAATCAACAGACCCGGGGCAGTGGCTCACACCTGTAATCCCAGCACTTTGGGAGGCCAAGGCAGGTGGATTACCTGAGGTCAGGAGTCCGAGACCATCCTGACCAACATGGTGAAACTCTGTCTCTACTAAAAATATAAAAATTAACCGGGCCTGGTGATGTACGCCTGTAGTTCCAGCTACTTGGGAGGCTGAGGCAGGAGAATTGCCCGAACTTGGGAGGCAGAGGCTGCAGTGAGCTGAGATCGTACCACTGCACTCCAGCCTGGGCAACAGAGCACGATTCTGTCTCAAAACCAATCGTCAACTTGAACCCCATTCCTTAAATAACTGGGTCTTAACCTTAGCTGCATGTTAGCATGATCTAGGCACCAAATTCTCAATGCTCAGGTCCTACTCCAGACCAATTAAATCAGAATTACTGCTATTTAAAGAAAGAAAAACAAAAACTCCACAGGTGGTTCAATGTGCTGCCTAGATTGCTATCCACCACCTGGGACACTATAGTTATTTTAAGTTTTAAACCAGATTAGTTTAAGTCACAAATTAAATCTCTACTGCTGGATAAAAGCATATTTGCTAAGTGACCTTTAATTTTTACCAGAGTACTAGAAAATGAATGAAATCCAAATGCCTGGTTAACATTATATCTGATGGTCTTTCAATTCTGGGGTGGCCGTTGTAATCCAGTTCCTGGCACTGAAATAGAAGGGAGACTCCTGCTGGGTCTTTTCCTTCTGGGATAAAAGGACAGAGCCCCACTGGGAGGAAAAAGTGAGTTTCATTTCTTTCTCCACTTTCACTAGCCCTGAACTCTCAGATAAATACTGAAACTAAGGAGTACATCTTGCAATCAAAAAGCAGTGAGAGAATAAAAAGTCAACATGTTGAGGATGGTGGTAGAACAGAGACTGGAAGAGCTTGGGTCTTTGATGACATTGTTGTGTCATTGAACCACACCAACCAACTACCTTCCACATTTTTATGTTAAGAAAATGATTGCTTAAGCCACCATTAGCTGAGCTTTCCGTTACATGAAGTCAAATGTATTTCTTTCTTTTTTTTTGAGACAGAGTCTCCCTCTGTCACCCAGGCTGGAGTACAGTGGCACAGTCTCCACTCACTGCACCTCCGCCTCTCCAGTTCAAGCGATTCTCCGTGCTTCAGCCTCCGGAGTAGCAGGGAGTACAGCCATGCACTACCACACCCGGCTAATTTTTGTATTTTTGTAGAGATGGGTTTTCACCATGTTAGCCAGGCTGGCCTTGAATTCCTGGCCTCAGGTGATCCGCCTGCCTCGGCCTCCCAAAGTGCTGGGATTGCAGGTGTGAGCCACAGCGCCCGGCCCTAAAGTATTTCAGATGGGTACACCTTAGTTCTCTCTTAAGCTACGAATCACTCAACATTTACTATTGGCTAAGAACTTTAAGATATTATCACTTTTAAGCCTCACAGCAACTCCAGAAACAAGTGTTGTTATTCCCATTTTACATATGCAGAAACTGAGACCCATACAAATTAACTATCTTGTCCTTGCCATACAGAAGTTAGACTTTAAGCCAGGTTCCTTTGATTCTAATCTCAGTGCTCTTCATTACATTGCTATAGTACTGTTATTAACCTCTTGGATGTGTGCAAGTCTAGCTGCTCTGATTAAATTGTGTATCATGCAAGAAGAGCATGTTAGGCTTGTAGGAGTACACCTAATGGTCTACATTTAGGTCAATAGATATTTGAAGAATTAATGGGTTTGCTTGAAAAAAAAAAATTACAGGATAAACTTTTTTTGTGCTGTTCTGCAAAACCACATGATGCTTTAAATTCACTCCACCAAAAAAAAAAAAATCAAAATCAATCCACTTTCACAGACGACTTGATAAAAACGTTTTTAATAATAATCAAGGGCTTTGGTATGTGATAACATTTTTTCTCCCTCCCTGGTGAAAAGGCAAATAAATAGTAGGGTTTTGGTGTAGATGCTTAAGGCAACTATATGGACCTATCTTCAAGGATATGGGGTGCTGCTATCTGTCGAGTAGAAAAGACAAACGTATCACTTCCCAGGGTTGTGTGCTAGGGTGTATTTTGTAATTTTTTTTTTCTTTTTGGCCAGCATTTACTCTTCAGGTGTTTCAAGGTGTCTAATATCCCCACTACTATGGTATTTGCCCAAAAGGCACTGCTGATGGGCCTCCTGCAATTGCTGTTCCGTATTCTCTTAGTATTTACTGAATTATTGAAAGCAGTACAGAGGCAGCCACGTTGAGTTTAGAGTCAGGCTCACTGGACCAAAGCTACTATGTTTTGCCTTTCTCTAAAATGAGAAAAGACCTATTTAAAACTGTTCTTATGAGACTTAAGTGAGCTGAAATGTAAACAAACTAGTAACAGTTAAGGCAGACAACAAGAAATTATCAAATATCTATGTGCTGAATAGTGAGATAAGTGCCTGGAAAGTAATGATGGCCCCTGTCATCAAGAAGCATACAGTCTACTAAATTGCCAGTTTCAACTCTAACTCCTTAGTGGCCAGAAAACGGAGTAAGTTGCAAGATAGTAAAATCTGAAGTCTGGCACCTGGGATCAAGTGCCAGTTCTCAACTTTCCCGATGTAGTGGGTTGAATAATCTCCAAAAGTATGTCTATGTCCTAACTCCCAGGACATGTGAAAGTGACCTTATTTGGGAAAAGGGCCTTTGCAGATGTGATTAAATTAAGGACCTCCAGATGAGATGATCTTGGATTATCCCCGTGGACTCTAAATTCAACGTTCAGTGTCCTAAAAACACAGAGAGGTGACACAGGCACAGGAGAAGGCCATTAGAAGACAGGCAGAGATTGGAGTCATGCAACAACAAGCCACGGACCGCCTGGAACCATCAGAAGCTGAAGAAGCAAAGGAATCTCCCCTAGAGCCTTGAAAAGGTGCAGGGCTCTGCCAACAGCTTGATTTTGGAATTCTTGCCCCTAGAACTGTTACAGAATAAAATCCTGTTGTTTGACACGACCAAGTTTGTGGTGTCAGTTTCTTCATCTGGAAAATGGGGCATATATCCTAACCATAATTTTATTTCCTCAAGTATAAAGTGCAATAACAGCACTTTCCAGGCACGAGCAGACATTAAAAATGGCAAACATTCATTGAGAGTGTCCCATGCTAAGCGCTTTGCACGTGTAACTTAATTATTTCTATTTTATTGATCAGGAAGCCAAGGCTCAGAAAATTTTGTAATTTTCCCAGAGCCACACAGCTAGCAAGTGGAAAAAACGGGATTACAATTCAAACCGATTCACGATACCCCTTTTATCCTCCACACTGGACTGCTCAGGAAGTATGCAAATTAACACACTTTAGAAACTTTAGCTACTTCAATATTTGTTCAGGCTACGGGATTCAGGCCTCTTATTAACCGCGCCGGCCAAGTCTCTCCTTCAGCAGCCTGTTCGACCTCGCAAGAGAGCTCCCTTTCTCTCCAGCACGGAAGCGACAGGGTTAATGACGTCATTTTCCCGTGACCGTTGTCGCGTCCTCTGACCGACGGATCCTTTCAAGGGCCAAAATACTCGCTCCTCAAGAGGGGGCATAACAGCAGCGGACCAATAGAAACTCCGAATTTTTGTATTGCCTGGTAAGCTCCACCTCTTAGTCACTGATCCGCCGCGGAAGATGAAAAAAAGCGGTCCGGGGGCGGAGCAAGGCAAGGAAGCGGAAGCGGAGCCGCGATCGGGATCCGCTGCGCAACTTGCTTCTGTCCCACGTGTGCGGTGAGTGTGGCCGGCTCAGCGGTCCCTCCTAGGAGGGGTTCGCGCTCTGCCGGGCGCTGGAAGTCGGAAAGGTCTCTCGGGGCTGTTGTCCACTGGGCAGTCTCCTGTGGCCTCTTTCTGGGCTAGGAGTTTGGGACTGATTGGAACCTGGCAAGGAGGGCGGAGCTCCGACCTCTCTCCCACCACGTTGGCCTTGCGTGCTGGGTTAGATTGGACTAGCTTCACTCTAGAATCCCAGCCCGTGCTCGGCCTGATCAGCCTGTCTGTGCTGTTTCACAAACACCAACTCCAGTACTAGGTGGTGTACCTGAATGTACGCAGATTATAAGTGCTGGGAGGAAACGAACTGGAAGCTGAGTTGGGAGATAGTGGAGTCTGAAGAAGTGATCTTTAAGCGGAGATCTAAAGCATGGCGGGAGGCCACCCGGAGATCTGGAAACTCGGGGAGTACTTCAAGCAGAGGCAATAATGGGCTAAGTCTCTGAGATGGGAGCTAGGAAGGAGTACAGTTGGAGTACAAGATAAAGTTATTGGGATAGAGTGGAACTAGGTTCTGTAGGGCCTTGAAGGACATGATGGGGATTTTTTTTTCTATACAGTAGGAAAACATTTCCGTTGCTATTACCATGTGTAGAAAACATTGAAGGCTTATAAGCAAGTGAGAATAATGAATAGGCCCTGGTTCTCTTTAGAAGATGTATTTAATTTGGAAGCTCAAGAGATTGTATTGATAATAGTTTGCATTAGGGTGGTGACTTCAGGGGCATTTAAGAGAACTAACTTATGGTTCAGTGTGGCAGACAAGAGAGAGGAAAATGTCAAGGGTAACTCAGGTTTCTTACTTGAGCAGTAAAATAGATGATGTGCCATTGGTTGAGATAGGGGACTGTGGGGCAGGGAAAAATAGTATCTTGTTGTCTGTGGGACAAACAACAATAACATAGAGAACAACATAAGAGAAGTATGTTTTAGACATATTAAGGGTAAGGTGCCTGTTAGACACATAATTAGAGGTATCAGATAAGCAGTTATACACAAGTTTGGAGCCCAAGGAGAAGTTCATAATGGAGACATGATTTGGGAGCACTCAGCATAAAAAGCCAGGAGATTGGATAAGACCATCTAGGGAGAAGTGTGGAGAGAGAATGGACGTTCCCTGAGACAAAGATTTGAGGAATGCTGACATTTAGAGGTTGGTCTATAAGAAAATGTCATTTAAACTGAATTTGAAGGATGGGTAGGAATTGTGTTGGCAGAGAGAATGGCTTTAAACTTCACTATTCAGATAAAGAATAATGAGAAAGATTGACTCCTGTGTGGTGTTGATGAGTGGGGTGAATTAAGACCACATTTTGAATGGCTGTGAATGCCTGAGTTGGAACTTTTTCCTGAAGGCAGTGGGAAAGCTTTGAAGCTACTGGAGCATGGAAATGACATGAAATAGGTGTGCTAGTGGAAGATTAATCAGGCAGCAGAAAGTGGATCAAAGCAGATTGGATCTAAACAAAACTGAGCAAGAGCTAACAGGAGCCAGAATGGGGTAATAGAGGGAAAGGAAAAAGAGGGGCCAATTCTGAGAGACACTATGGAATGTGATGATTGATTATGAAGGTACAGGGTTCCTGAGCAAAGCAAATTGCATTTTGCCGAGTGCAAGAAGCAAGACCCAAAAAGTTACATATTGTATGATTCCATGTATATGAATGACATTCTGGAAAAGACAAAATAGGCATGAAAACCTAATCATTGGCAGTCAGGGAAGAGGGAAGGAGTTGATTACAAAGGAGGTGTACCAAGGGACTTTCTAGAGTGACAAGACTTTTCTGTGAGATACTGTGGTAGAGGATGCATGACTCTTAGCCATTTGTTGAAGCCCATAGAATTATACACCAGAAAGAGTAAACTTGACTATATGCACATTTAATAAATCTGCCAGCATTTCTGGGGATGGAATGCTGACTGTGACCAATCAATTAAGCTATATTATAAACATATAACTTCACTAAAGAGAGTGAAGGGCTGATCTAAGTAGCTTTTTTTTTTTTTTTTTTTTTTTTTTTTTTTTTTGCCTGCAGCAGTAATTGCTACAGGCAGAATCCACCGACTTGAGTGCTAAAGTTAACAGGTAAAACTTAAGAGGAGGTAGGATGTCTACATATTCTCCAAACATCTTGTCTAAAATGTTTATTAATTGCTATGGTAGCTTAACATTTGAAACAGAGTCTCACTCTGTTGCCCTGGCTGGAGTTTAGTGGCACAATCTCAGCTCGCTGCAGCCTCCACCTCCTGGGTTCAGGTGATTCTCCTGCCTCGGCCCCCTGAGTAGCTGGGATTACATGTGTGCACCACCACTGCGCCCAGCTAATTTTTTTTATTTTTAGTAGAGACAGGGTTTGGTCTTGAACTCCTGACCTCACGTAATCCACCTGCCTCAGCCTCCCAAAGTGCTGGGATTACAGGCGTGAGCCACCATGCAAGCCTCTAAGTAACTCTGGAAAAGTGTTTTGAATGGATACAAAAAAGAATTGTACTTCAACACTGTATCGTCATTGTAAATTTATTTCTCATGAGGTACAGGTTAGCAGTTCTGAAAGTATACATGTATAGTAGGGTTGAACATAGGTATAAATAAATTGTAGATGGTGGGAAGCAGGTTGCTCACTGTCAGAGAAAGAACTTACAAATGAGCAAGAGGAGATGCCTAGAATAAAATCTGTGGTGCTTGATTAGATTTGGAAACATTAGTATGAGCTTCATGTTATTTTAATAGATATAAAAATAAATATAGGTATGTGCATATGCATAGGTTAATGTACATGTGTGTGTTTCCTGAATCTGTCTGCTGAAGGGATGTAGAAACAGGGACACCTCAGTGACAACAAGCACACCTAGCACTCAGATCATGGTTTTAAAATACCATTCTTAAAGAAAGGAACCAGGATTCCTTGGAGAAGTGGCTAATTTCAGGGCTAGTTTAAGGAAAATACAGAATGAACCTGGAGCTAGTGCCACAAAATAAGGGTGTGCTTTAAAAAACAAAACAAAATAGATGGGCCATGTCAAAAGGACACAGAAGCAACCTGAAAAATTTCCCACTGGCTGGAGCTAGAATTATTTGAGCAACAAAATAACAATGGTAGTGGATTATAACCAAGGAATGAAATAAATATCTGAGACTATATGATATAAGTAAATAGAAAAGATGAGACAAGTCTTCCCTACAGAAAAGTTCAGAATAACAAAGGTAAAAGTAATAAGAGAAATAGAAGATCACCATTTAAACGCAGTAATTGCTGCAGCCAAAATCCACCAACAAATGCTAAAGTTAGCGGGTAAAACTTAGGAGGACACAGGATGTCTACATATTCTCCAAGCATCTTGTCTAAAATGTTTATTAATTGCTGTGGTAGTTTAGCATATGCCTGGATTCTTTAGACCCCTCCTTCTGGGAAGTGGAGCTTAATTTTCCTCTGAGTTTGGGCTGGACTTGGTGGCTTGAATCTAATAAAGATGGAAAGGTTAAAGTGGCAACTTTACAGTGGTGAAACCTGGAAAACACTGCTTTGACCAAGTGAACACGGTTAACATAAACAGTAATAAGTCATGTTAATGTCATGTACCTCCTGGTAGAGTACTACCAGAAGAAAGCTTGACCTCTGGTAGTCTTCCAAAAAATGTGTAGCCTTAGCCTAATCATGAGACAACATCAGGCAAACCCCAAATGAGGAATATTCTACAAAATACAAAGGAAACTTGATGGCCAGAATCAGTGTATCCTGGTACAGAAAGAGGATATTAGTGGAAAAACTGGTAAACTCCAACTCAACTCTGTAGCTTAGTTAATAGTATTGTATGTTAACATTAGGGGAAGCTGGGAAAAGGGTATATGTGAACTGTGTATCTTGTCAACTCTTTTGTAAAGCTAAAATTATTTCAATATAAAAATTAGAACAAAAATATAGAGAAAACATGTAAATGAATGGATTCTTATAAAACTACATGGCATACAAGAGCTAAGAGATGCAGGTATGGTCATTGAGAGGTGATAATGTGCCAGAAGCCCTCACTCTCAGCGCCTCCTCGGCCTTGGCGTCCACTCTGGCGGCGCTTGAGGAGCCCTTCAGCCTGCCACGGCACCGTGGGAGCCCCCTCTGGGCTGGCTGAGGCCAGAGCCGCCTCCCTCTGCTTACTGGGAGTTATGGAGGGAGAGGCGTGGGCGGGAACCGGGGCTGCGAACAGTGTGCTCAGGGGCCAGCGCGAGCATGCCAGCGCGAGTTCCGCGGGGCACCGCGCAGGCTCAGCGGCCAGCTCCACCGGCCCAAGGCAGTGAGGGGCTTAGCACCCGGGCCAGCAGCTGCGGAGGAGGTTGCGCCGGGTGCCCCAGCAGTGCGGCTGGTTGGCGCTGCACTCAGATTCTCCTCAAATTCTCGCAGGATTTATCTGCTTCCCCACGGGGCAGGGCTCAGGACCTGCAGCCCATTGTGTCTGAGCCCCCGCCCCCCGCCGCGGTGGACTCTCTTGCGGCCGGAGCCTCCCCGATGGGCGCCACCCCCTGCTTCCTAGCGCCGGGTCCCATAGACAGCCCAAGGGCTGAGGAGTGCAGGCGTGGCTAGGGACTGGTGGACAGCTCTGCCTGAAGCCCCCCGCCCCCCTCATGTAGGATCCACTGGGTGAAGCCAGCTGGGCTCCTGAACTGGACGGGAACTTGGAGAACTTTTATGTCTAGCCGGAGGATCGATCATATGTGCACCAATCAGCACTCTGTGTCTAGCTCAGGGTTTGTGACTACAACAGTTGGTACTCTGTATCTAGGTAACCTAGTGGAGACTTGGAGGACTAGCACTCTATGACTCTGTGTCTAGCTCAAGGATTGTAAATGCACCAATCAGCACTCTGAGTCTAGTGCAGGGTGTGTGAATACACCGATTGGTACTCTATCTAGCTAACCTAGTGGAGACTTGGAGAACTAGCACTCTGTGACTCTGTCTAGCTCAAGGATTGTAAATGCACCAATCAGCACTCTTTGTCTAGCTCAGGGTTTGTAAATACACCAGTGAGCACTCTGTCTAGCTCAAGGTTTGTAAATACACCAATTGGTACTCTGTATCTAGCCAACTAGCACTCTGTGACTCTGTGTCTAGCTCAAGGATTGTAAACACACCAATCAGCACGCTGTCAAAATGGACCAATCAACTCCCTGTAAAATAGACCAATCAGTTCTCTGTAAAATGTACTGTTCAGCAGAATGTGGGTGGGGCCAGATAAGGGAATAAAAGCAGGCTGCCCCAGCCCCCGGCAACCGGCTCGGGTCTTTTTCCACGTTGTGGAAACTTTGTTCTTTCGCTCTTTGCAATAAATCTTGCTGCTGCTCACTCTTTGGGTCCACGCTGCCTTTATGAGGTGTAACACTGACTGCGAAGGTCTGCAGCGTTACTCCTAAAGCCAGCGAGACCACTAGGAAGAATGAACAACTCCAGACGCGCTGCCTTTGCTGCCTTTAAGAGCTGTAACACTCACTACGAAGGTCTGCAGCTTCACTCCTGACAGCGAGACCACCCACCAGAAGGAAGACGCTCCAGACACGTCTGAACGTCTGAAGGAGCAAACTCAGGACACACCATCTTTAAGAACTGTAACACCACGAGGGTCTGCGGCTTCATTCTTGAAGTCAGTGAAGCCAAGCAACCCACCAATTCCGGACACGTTATGATGGACATAGCTAAGTAATAATGTGACCCTTCAGTTCTAAATGCCCCAAGGAAGCCGAGTAATTCGGGGGCTGTCCATTTTTCAAAATCATTAGAAAAGTCTAGATTGGAACAGCGCTTTTCAGAGTGCTCCTTGGAACTCTGCTGTTCCCTTGTGATGTTCCAGGAAAAAGTGGTTCAACTGGAGTTGGAAAATCCTGCATCCTTTTAGCCTTTGCTTGACAATTGATCGTTTATATTAGCAAATTAAAGAATCTGAAAAGCCTTTTCTTACAGACTGATTGTTGTCATGTAACTTACTGTTTCCCAAATATATTTTATCCCCGAACCCTTGTTTTCTCTTATGCTAATATCCTGAGAATTAGTTATTGAATGGGCAATTCTAATCTAGATATATCTATTGTTGTCTGGGGATCACTAACATCTGCTGTTTAGAGTCAGCTTTCAAATGAGTTGATCGTCCAACTTTGGAAAGTGGAGAAATGAGCCAAATGGCTTTTGCTCTTGATCTGTTCCGTTGCTTTCAGGGACCTTGGGTAGTTGAGGGATTATAACTTGTTTATCCTGTGCACCATGGTGTCTCAGTAGCCTATAAAGCTCCTATTAGACAAATTCCTTTCAGTGAAATATTAACTATTTCAACATGATCTTATTTTGGAGTTCACTGCCAATTACTTGGCTGCCTCTAAAACAATCACAAATTAAACACTGGATGCTAATCTTTGTTTTAGCTATGTTGGATCACATAGGAATCTTTCAGATAATCCTTTATTTTCTTATATTAAATGCATGTAGTGGTATGTGCAGCCTATTGTTTGTTCCTGGCTTTTTAGGCTCCAAGAAATCAAGAGATAATTTTGTCAGTTACTCACCCTCTAGTCTTCCCAGGTTACAAAATGCAAACTCTGATGCGTATTATACTTAGTGTCAATCGTGGTCTATTTTTAGCCAGTACTATTGTGGAAGTGAAGTGTTGCCTCCAGATACATCAAACACTGGCCAGGGTGTGTGTTGTTCCTAGTTTTTCTATTGATACCTTGTTCATTTTCAGTTTTAAAATCTGAGGCAGTGATTGCATAATTGCTGGATTTAATTAGTTGCCCATTCTATATCTGGGTGATTTGTATTGTATTTGTAGACTGAAGGACTAAATGTGGCAATGACTATGTAACAGCTCTTATTTGATGAAGAGAACTGCAGTGATTGTTTTGGTTTTGATTTTCCAGAGTTGCTACAATGGAAGTCAAAGGGAAAAAGCAATTCACAGGAAAGAGTACAAAGACATCACAAGAAAAAAACAGATTTCATAAAAATAGTGGTAAGATATGCTTCCCTTGTGGGTGTTTGGCTATTATAGTTGGGGGATGGGAGGGCAGGTAGTAAATTTCAATCTGTATTCATTGGCTAGGATTAGGATTAAAATAGGAAGAAGTATGTGTTATTGTGTATGAGTTAACATGTTGCTCATAACATTTAGACACTTAAGAAATTGCCAGAATAATTGAGGAATGCCTTACTCATGAAAGACTCCTTATCTCAGTTGTTACTGCTGTTGCATCATTTTATTCACACTAGTTCACCATACGTTTTATTTTAACATTTGATAAATTAGGACTGTTTAATACATACTGCTCGTAAGCCAAATACTTTTAGGTTCAGAATTTATAATGGTGATGTCTTTATTATTCCATCAGGTGTCAGTATTGTAAAATAGAAAAGTCAGGGAACTATACAAATGACTGTTTCCTTAAAATAAAGCCATTGCTGTTTGTATCTCATTTGTAAGGTACTAATTTGTAAATCTTCTTGACTAAAAGTTTTTATTAAATAATTTTATTGTAGACTTTAAAATTTTATTTTCTTGAAACTAGAAAATTTTCAAATTAACATTTTAGATGTCCTTATGTTATACTTTCCAAGTTTCAAGAATGTTCATTTTATTCTTAGAATTCTTTTATGTTGTTGAACTCTTGAAAATTCTGTGTAGACCATCATTAAAGCAGAATACAAAGGTATATAAATAATAGCTTTGCTATATGCTTAAAACTAGAGAAACATACCAAACTGACACCAGTGTTTAGTGGTAGAATCATGGGTAGCTTTTATTTTACATTTCTCTACTCTTGGGTTTTTGTTTTGTTTTGTTTTGTTTTGTCATGAACCTGTATTAGTTTTATAATCAAGGAAATAATTTTTTAATTTTGTTTTGATTGTTTAAATCCAGTTCTACTCAAAAGGCTGTATGTTGCGTATCTGAGAGTAAGACAAGGTATTAGGATTAAAGAACGTAATTTTCTGTAATGAATATAATCCCATGGATACAAGAGATTTGGGCCCAGAATCCTTGAACTTGTAATTATTATTGTCACTAGATTCTGGTTCTTCAAAGACATTTCCAAGAAAAGTTGCTAAAGAAGGTGGACCTAAAATTACATCTAGGAACTTTGAGAAAAGTATCACAAAACCTGGGAAAAAGGGTGTGAAGCAGTTCAAGAATAAGCAGCAAGGGGACAAATCACCAAAGAACAAATTCCAGCAGGCAAATAAATTCAACAAGAAGAGAAAATTCCAGCCAGATGGTAAAAGCGATGGTAAGTACTGATTTGTTCAGCATGGTCTTTGCAGATCCTTGCCCTGCCTGACCTCGTGCCTGAACCCATTCATTGTGCACAGGGACTCTGGAGGTGCATTAGAGACCTCACATTCTTACTCCTTGGCAGGTAACATTTTGGGACAGGTAGATGGCTTAAACAAACAACAGAGCATCTTTCATGCTCAGAATTTCCCTCTGGTGCTTGGAGTTTTTTATTTCTTAGCCCTTTTCTGAATTACCTTAGCCATGAAGTTAAGCTAAATTATAATGGCTTTGTACAGTGGAACCTCAATAAAATGTTTCTTTCTATAAGCTAAAATTGATTCATTCATTCAATGAGTATTTGAGTTTTCTATGCATTGCACCAGAAGATAGGGCAAAACACATACACACACACACACACAATTAGTAAGGATACAGGCCCCAACTAATCATCATAGAATCTGGCTTTAAAGAATCAGTCTATCCCCAGCTAAGTGTCATCCTTGGTTAAGGATGCTTTGGTGAGCAAGAAACATACAGACCCTGCCTTCACAGAGCTTAGGCCAGACTAATACAATAACCCATCTGATCGCACAGATCCATGGTAGTTCCAGAGAAGGTGTCGTGCACACATGACAGATTTGATTTTAATTGGTTCAGGACAAGTTGCTCACTGATTGGAGGTTTTGGCAGGTCTTCTGCTTGTCTGTTGAAACAAACTGCCCGTCTCTGTGACGATGTTCAGTGGGTCATTTCTAACCCAGAGCTTTGCTCTCTGTTGTGTAACATTCCTCTGTTGTGCATTGTCCTGCATTGATCTCAAACAAGCAGTTTCCAGGTTATGTGGATTGTCGTATCATTACTTCCTTTGCAACATCCTGAGAATTTTTCTGGTGCCTTTTATTCTCTTTTTCTCCAGCACAGCATGTCTTAACACTGCTCCTTTGTTGCCAGCTGAGACCACTGGGGATGGTTTTCTCAGTGCCATCCCCTAGTCCTGGTGCTTGCTTTTTACCCTGCCTAAGGGCTGCTTACCAGAGGGACAGCAGCCTTAAGACGGAGGTGGGGAGATAGGAAGGAGGGGAAGTGCCATTGTTTGCCATTAGGGATGTAGGATCTTTTCATGCTCAGTCTCGCTCTTCTCTTTTCATTTTTTCTTTCTCCCTCATCTTCCTCCTCCCCCATTGCCAGTAGTTTCTCTTCTAGCTCTCTTATACTTTCTCTTACCTAGCCTCTCTAATAGATCCCAAATCTTACTTTCTCTACTGGAGTTTTTAAACACATATGCACTAATTTCTCACATTGATGTGAGAAAAGCCATGATTTCTTTTGCTATGGGAGATATGTTCCTGATATCTCAAAATGGTACTCTTGATATCATTTTCTCATATTTTTGTATCAGTAACTAGACTGATAGAATAAGATGAGAGATTGGATACTAGACAACCCCCACATTGATAAATGTATCGCAGCCTAACATGATATATGTCAAGGGTACCCAAATATTTATGGAATTAAATTAGCCCTGGATCAGAATATCCTCTATTGTATAGTAGAGGATATCATGTTAATATAATGGTAAATACACCCTCTGTTGCCTATAATCTTTTGTATTACCAGGCAGGGAATATATAAGTAAACAATAAGGGAATAATAAATACATTGTAGTATATTGGATAGCCATTAGAAATTATGTTATTGAGGAATGTTAATTTCATGAGAAAACATAATCATGTTCAGTGAAGGCAGATTCTGAATTTTTTTCTTTTTTGAGATAGGGTCTCACTTTGTTGCCCAGACTGTGAAGTGCAATGGCATGATGATGGCTCACTGTGTCCTCAACCTCCTGGATTCAAGTGATCCTCCTGCCTCAGCCTCCCAAGTAGCTGGAACTGCAGGCATGTACCACCACATCCGGCTAATTTTTTAATTTAATTTTTTCGTGGAAACGGGGTCTCACTATTTCGCGCAGGCTGGTCTCAAACTCCTGGCCTCAAGTGATTCTTCTTCCTCAGCCTTCCAAAGTGCTGGGATTACAGGCATGAGCCCGGCCACATTTTGAGTTTTTAAAGATTAAAACATGCATGGAGAAAAAGTAAGAGGAAAATAATCAGTGGTTATAACTAGGTTTTGGTTTTATAGGGCTTTTTCTTTTCTTTTTTGCATTTTCCCCAGTTTTTTAAGAGAAAGGGAGATAGTTAGAAGTGACTAATTCCCCCAAAGGATTCCGTGCAGGATACTCATGTAAATAATACCCATTTTAGTAAGTTGTTCTTTGTTTGGCATCATTAGTTCCATTGGTAAGTTACTTGGATTTTGAAGACAAAAAAGTGGTGGTAGAAAGATATTCGACTTTAATAGTATCACTGTTTGTGGTGAACTTGGAAATTTTGGTTGTTCATTGTCATGACTATGATAGCAGAGCGCTGTTTCTAGGTTTGAATCCTAATTCTAGCAGGTTGTGTGGCCTCAGATAGAGATCTCAACTGCTTAGTTCTTTTTCCCCACCGTGGAAGGGAGGGTAATATTAATACCTCTTGGAGTTGTTTTAAGAAATAAGTGACTTAATATAGAACAGCACTCAGAACAGTGAATTTTCGAAGTTGTTTTTCCTGTTTTCATTTGGACTAATTTTTGTTTTCATTGAAAGTTGACTATACCCTAAGTCCAATGATCTTAATCTTAAAAAGTAGAATTTTATTTCACAATTGAAAAAGATATTTAAAATATTTTAGTTACTTTTGTAATTCTTTTAATGTCCTTTTCTCTTAATAGGTATCCTGTTAGAAGAATTAAAGATTTCAATGTAACCAAATGTAAAATGTACAAACTGCTCAGAAAGCAAAGTATATATGGGGAATGGTGTGTTCCCCTTTCTAGCTTCCAGAATGAGCATTGATCCTGATTAGTGATTGCCCTTTATACCTAACTTGTATTGGTTTATGACACTTAGAATGTTCAATGTAATTGAAAATAATTTCTATAATAACTAGAATCAGCAGCTAAGAAACCCAAATGGGATAACTTCAAAAAGAAGAAGAAAGAACTGAAGCAAAGCAGACAACTCAGTGATAAAACCAACTATGACATTGTTGTTCGGGCAAAGCAGATTTGGGAGATTTTAAGAAGGTAATTCTATCTAAAGATGTCTTTGTTAGTCCCTTTGCGACAGTGGAGAAGTCAGTGTACCTTGTAAATAGTGAGATGTCCTAAAATAAATGACGTAGCACTTGGGTTATTGAGGGCGTCCTCATGACACCCCAGTAGAGACATCAGTACTTGGATATCTGCCCGTTGCAGAAGTGTGTAGAACCATTACGATGGCATCGGATATGCTTATGAAAATGTATGAGGTTGAAATAAATTTGACATTCTTCCTGAGAGATTTCTGAGAAAATGAAGGATAATTTCTTATCAGCTAGGTTTTGAGATACTTCAGTATTTGTTATCTTAGATTTGTTTTATTATTTTTTTTTTTACTTCTGAAGTTCTGGCTGTTAAGATTTGGATTGATACATAAAATTACACCTTTTGAGATGAGTTTCTCCCTTTGAGAAAATTACTTTTGTCTGGCTGCTCTGGAATAGTAATTTTAATGTCAGAGGTTTGCTGCTGTAGAAAAGAGAATCATGCTGAACTTGGAGAACATATACTGGTATGGTTTTTAATTTTGTGTGTTTAAAATAACTTCTTTACTTAAACTGTGTTTCCTTTTCTCATTTGTAGAAAAGACTGTGACAAAGAAAAAAGAGTAAAGTTAATGAGTGATTTGCAGAAGTTGATTCAAGGGAAAATTAAAACTGTAAGTAGGACATACTCATTGTTGCAGTTTTAAACGATTGAAATTGCCTCACTCTGAGGAGTAGCTGACCATTCATGACAGGTGATCCTGTCATTGTTTCCGGTGTATTTGACCAAAAGTTTTAAATACCTTCCATAACACTGAACTACATAAAAATTTAAAAGTGAGCGGCCTTACTGCTGGAGAGTTCTGCAAAGATTATCAGTTGGCTGTGTCATTTTTAAATAATTCTTAAAATAAGCCGGTGTTCCCTTAAAGTTATCTTGAGAAGTTATTAGTTCAGTAGTATTTGCTTAAATGTCTTGTTCTAAACTCCATATAATTTAGTATGTTCTCAGTTGCCAACTTTTTTATATTTGTGATGTGAACATATTACTTCTTTCTTTTCCTCCATGCTTTTGTAAACATCATGCAAAGATCTTTAACTAAAATATAATCATTTCAGAATTCTAAAGTAGTTTTCATTATTGATGCTTAATCCGGTTTTGTAATAAATTTCCAGTGACTCTTGTGCATTTGGATTAATACATAATGGCTTGGAAGACAACAGATTCTCATAGTTTTACGGCACCTAGGGGGGCAGCGTTTGCCAAGTCAGATGCATAGGTCTAACCAGATGCTATATTACCTCTTGAAGGAAAATAGCAAGTCATCAGCTGCTGCTTTCTTATAAATTCAGCAGGATCTTTTTACAATAGAACTGCCCCCTCAGCTCTGGCAGCTTATAAATATTTCACTCAGGATTCTTTCTCAACTACCCTGAGGTCACAGCTGTGTGACCATGGTCTTAGTAGTGAGTTTGGTGTTCAGATCCTGGCTGGGCTGCTTAAAATATGTGTGCCTTTGAACAATAACAATAACCTATTTATTATTTACTATAGGTTAGGAATTGTGTTAACCAGGACATGCATTGTCATTTACCATATGTCATCATCCGTGTTATATATTTGATGTATTTGGGACTCAGAGAAGTAAAGATTCTTCCTTGGGGTAACAGAGGTAGCGAGTTCCTTCTCGAAACTTTACTCCCCTTATCTGTAAAGTGGGAATAATGACAGCTCATTCTTATCTCATTCTTATGATTGCTTTGAGATATAAATAAGAACACTATGTTTAAGGCAGTTATGTTGGTTATAAAATAGATGCTCAATATATACACAAAAACAGCCTTAATTTTTTAGAAGATATTCAGAGATGTCTTACAAATCTTGAAATTTATGACTTTGATGGAGGTATACACTCACCTTCTGATTTGTTGGAATTAAAAAACTTTAAAGACAGAGTGAGCAACAAATAAGCACTGTTGAAGTAGACTGGTACTGTAGCATAGTAAAAATAATTTTGCATGATGGATGATTTGTGGAGGGTGCTCTAGAAAATTGACCAGTGGGTCCTTCCAGCAGTCGTGAGGAGGAATGGGTTAGAGAATCAGATTCGAAACACAGCAACTCTTCTAGAAATATAACTGGCTATATGTGCAGGAATTATCATGAAAATGTGACAAATGAATGATTAGCTTATAATTGCCAGTGTGTATGGATATAGTTATATTTATTTCTTTAGGAAGATGTTTAGATTCATCTTACAGATATACTTCTGGTTGTCAAAGCCAAACATTCTTAGATCACTTATATAAAAGTCATAGGGTAATAGACCTTTTAAACAAATATTTCCCTTTTAGGGACAATAACTATCAAAGAAATGAGAAGTTATAGTCTGTATAATCATCAGATGGTTTGGATTGGTTAGGTTTTAATTATAATGAGAGGAGTATTGCAGAATGGTTTAATTTATCCTTGCCTCAATGTCATTATTAATTGTACCTATCAAATATGGTAGGCCTCAAAACAAAAGAATGATGTTCTGGGTAATTAAAACAAGTAGTTCTCAGTAATCTAGGTTTGATTTTATCCACGAAGACTACCTATTTTCTAACAAGAAATTCCAGAAGAGGTCACGATAAATTAATGAGAAACATGACTCTCAAAAGAGAATTAGTCTAACTCAGACTTTTTCCTACAGATTGCATTTGCACATGATTCAACTCGTGTGATCCAGTGTTACATTCAGTATGGTAATGAAGAACAGAGAAAACAGGCTTTTGAAGAATTGCGAGGTATTTATTACATACTGAAGATTATGTTATCATTTGCAGTAAGTCACTTGTTTTCTCTTAAAATACCCAAGACTGTCTAGAAAACAATTTTTGTTTAGGTGTGTCTTCTCCAGATCCTTTTTTGTTTTTATTTTTTTCTTTGCCTGGGACAAATTGAGAATTATTTGTGTTTCCAGGATTGTGCATTTATTTAGTTCCTCCCTTTGTTTCCAGAGAACTGAAATGAGATCTCGAAGTCATTGTAATGTATTTTTGTTTTTCAGATGATTTGGTTGAATTAAGTAAAGCCAAATATTCCAGAAATATTGTTAAGAAATTTCTCATGTATGGGTAAGTTGTTTTATTTATAAAATACATTTTTTGTTTGTCTTTTGAAGGCATAGTTTCCAACTGTGCTCAGATGTGAAATAGGAAGTCTGTGGTCTTTATAAGTAATAGTAATGGCTCTCAGCAGATGCTTGTGTTGTTTCTAGAGAGTATCATCTTTAATACAGTTATTGAAATTAATGTAGAATTATGGTACTGCCTTCATTCCTAAAAAGATACATGAGAGATGTCTTGCAAATCTCCTTGAGATGTATGACTTTGATGAAGGTATACCCTCACCTTCTGATTTGTTGGCATTCAAAAGATGCTGGGCCCTATTCTAAGTCCTCCCCCTCCACATGTCCATCTTTTTGGCTGTCTCTCCATCTGTGTTCCTGTCTATATGTCTGTCTTCTTGTCATCCAGTAAACACAGTATATGCAGGGGGAGTTCAAGTGGGGACTTCCATCAAAAGAAGAGGCAGTTCTGTCACAAAGACAGAGTGAGCAACAAATAAGCGCTTTTGAAGTAGACTGGTACTGTAGCATAGTAAAAATAATATTGCATGATGGGTGATTTGTGAATGTTTATCTTGATACTCTGGAAGAAGAGAGATAGAATAATTAGCTTGTAATTAGCCACCAGTATTAAGAGGGTAGAGAGCGGGGAGGGGGGTGGTGGGTGCGTAGACTGATACAGGGTTAGTGGGTTAGAAAATGTCAACGTGGGAGAATTTCCTAAATTAAGTGGAATTAGTACTTGTCTTGACCAATCTTTTTGAGTGTAACAATGTGCTAGAATATGATAATCAACAACAAAAAGTGTAATATATGCAGCTGACAAAATTTTCAAAAACATATTCCTAGCTATAGTTACCAGCTATTTGATTCTTTTAGGATATAGTTAAAATACTTGTGATTAAGTCCCATCTTCAAAAAGAATCTTAGAATGATTTTCTATTTCCCTGAATCTTTTGCTTTCATCTTTTTTCCTGCCATACTTTTTTTTTTTTCAAGCAGAACAGTTTAATAGGAACTGACATTTATCGAGCATTTACTGTGTGCTAGCCCCAGCTTCTCAATGCATGCTTGCTCATTTACTCCTCAGAGCAACACAGGTTGATGAGTTGGTCTTGGAGGAAGTAAGCTGTGTTTTATTGTCACCCAGCTTTCTCTTTCTATCATTTATTTTTTCCATGATTGTGTTGCGTTTAGAAGTAAACCACAGATTGCAGAGATAATCAGAAGTTTTAAAGGCCACGTGAGGAAGATGCTGCGGCATGCGGAAGCATCAGCCATCGTGGAGTACGCATACAATGACAAAGCCATTTTGGAGCAGAGGAACATGCTGACTGAAGAGCTTTATGGGAACACATTTCAACTTTACAAGGTGACATCTCTAGAAGTCTTTTTCTAGTATTTTTACTTTTTCTATATGCTCTTCCTTAACTTCCAGTGCCCTATTTTTAGAATGTATTATTTTTTACCTTGGCTGGTTCTTTAAGAGACCATCTTACGCCCTTGATTTTCCCTCATGCTTTATTTTGTCTCTGGTGTAGTAAGCAAGTGATCATACTTACGCTTCTTTTTCTTCAGAACATTGGCTTTAAATCCACTTCAAATCAACTTTTGGTCCTCTCCTAAGTACGCTGTGTGTAGCACTTCAGTACTTCTATTTTTACAGTCAGACTGAGGGAGAAGACTCCCAATAGTTATCAAAGTTGTGTAAGCACTCCCAACCAGCTCTGGCTGAAATGTGTTGGGCTCTGGTTGCTAGCTTCTCCTGTGTGTTCTCATGTACATGCATTGCCCTTCTTTGGATTGTATCTAGAGATGAAGGGGAGTAGAGAGACCTAACCTTGGATAGAGTGCAGGGATTGAATTTGAGAATAGTGAGCAGTGGGACTAGCTGGTTAAAGAATCTATTTCAAACCTTGGAACGTAAATGCACACATTTGTCTGAAGGGATATGGATTGATTCCTGGGTTGCCTCCATTAGTCAGGTTCAATTCTTTGGTTGACTTTGTTGCTGTACTAATTTTGTTAACAGTTCATTATATTTAATAGGAATAGCCAACTAATTAGAAAACACATGGTGGCAAGAATTTGTGACTTGACTACTTGATCTCATAATTAGGCGAGAGCTAGGTGCTTGGCAAATAACTATTGACTGGTTAACTAAGTTGGTGTTTAGCCTGGCTCTTTAAATGCATTGATAGATACACAGACTGAGAATCAGCTAACGAGGTTGCTCCACAAGGATATACAGCAGAGCTTTCATTATGTAAATGTGGGAAATCTTAAATTTGTTAAAACTTATTTTAAAATGACTGTAATTGCTTTTCTTTGTCCTGAAGTGAAAAAATGGATTAAATTTAGAGGAGTTTGATTTTTTCTTTTGTTGCAGTCAGCAGATCACCCAACTCTGGACAAAGTGTTAGAGGTACAGCCAGAAAAATTAGAGCTTATTATGGATGAAATGAAGCAGATTCTAACTCCAATGGCCCAGAAGTAAGAAAGTTGTTTTTGTTTCTTTCTTAACAAATGACATTCAAAGGAGGAAGGTTTTACATAACCGTTGCCCAGAAGAGGTAGATATTTCCTACTTACAAGTGTTAATCTGTGCTAAATAAGAGTGCAAAAGTATTGGTTTGAAACCATTCTTGGTGCAAAAGGAGATTTCTTTTTCTGATATTGTACCCTATAAAATGGCAACTAACATGCATTCGTGATTTATGAGCTTTTTTAAGCAATGAAACATTCTTTCCCCAAATAAAATGTTACATGGAAGCCATGTATACTAAACAGTTTCACAAATATAATTTGTTACTCAAATTTGGTTGTAGGCAAGGTGCAGTGGCTCACGCCTATAATCCTAGCACTTTGAGGGACTAAGGTGGGAGAATCACTTGAGGCCAAGAGTTCAACACCAGCTGAGGCAATAGCAAGACCCCATCTCTATGAGAAAATAAGAAAATTAGCCAGGCTTTGTGGCATGTGTCTATAGTCTTGGCTACTCGGGAGGCTGAGAGGCAGGAGGCTCACTTGAGCCCAGGAGGTGAAGGCTGCAGTGAGCCATGGTTGTGCCAGTGCATTCCAGCCTAGGCAACAGATTGAGACCTTGCCTAAAAAAAAAAACAATTTTTTTCAAATGGATTGTAAGACTCAGAAGCCTGTGCTTGTGCCCTTCATGGCATCTGTCCCATAGTGGAGTGGCTGAGCATAGCTTTTGGGACCCGATTGCCTGGGTACAACTCCTGGTTCCCCACTCCCCCCACTAACTGTGTAACCTTCAGCAACTTAACCTCTCTGTGCCTCAGTTACCATATCTGTAAAATTGGGATAATAATAGTACAGACTTCATAGGAATTTTATGAAGATTAAATGGGTTAGTTGTTCCAAAACATTCAGAACAGTGTTTTACCCATAAAGGCAGTGTTAGTTTTTGCCGTATACTTGGATATCGCCTGTGAACTTTAGGTCTTTGATACCTGACCATCACCCTCCACTGTAAGATCCACCAAGTGTCACACTAGGGGGTTTGGATTAAGTAGGTGTTGTTGCACTTGCTGACAATGTTTGGTTCATTCAAGTTTTAATTTTGCTAAAATTATTTTGTGAAACAGATGGATTGTGAAGGGTGTTGACAGAAATAAAACAACTATTAAAAAATAGGTCCACGTGTGGATTTCTAATCATCATGTCCAGTGCTGGGGAGAAAAATGAAGATGTCCTTATTTAACAGAGCAGAGCATACTTCAAATGTTAATTTTATGTTTACTGAGTAGATACTAGACATTTGTACTGGTCTTGGTTGTAGATGGCACTAAATCAATTTTACCATCTAAGTTTTTGTTTAAGTTTTAGTATTTCTGAAAGATGTGGTCTATTTTATGACAAATTATATTCAGTAAAACCATTTCACTTGTTTAGATTACTTTAGGACTTCTGAGATTACCTATCTTGGTATGACTAGTGCCAGATCTGATGAGTCTTTCTGCTTTTTTTTTTCTGTTTTCAGGGAAGCTGTGATTAAGCACTCATTGGTACATAAAGTATTCTTGGACTTTTTTACCTATGCACCCCCCAAACTCAGATCAGTAAGTTCTTGGTTTTTGTTTTTAAACTAAAACATGGAGAAGGAGCGGTGTAGAAATTTGAAAAACTGCTTTGATGTACATTGTCTTTTGGAAATTTTAGAGTTGCTTCCCTATTTAGGGAAGATAATTTACTCACCTCCCTTTGAACATGTTTGCAATTTCCATTTAGATATTCCAGTAAACAATAGAATTGACCCTAGTTTTACTAGTCATATTGAATGTTTATACCTTAATTATAATCCGGAGAGTATCCGCTAGCTAGCCTACTCTGAAAATTAACTAACTCATGGAAGAATATTCAAGCATTCGGGTAGTTTTAAATTCAACTGTGCCAAAAAAAAAAAAAAATTAGCTTGGCATTAAAAGGTTAGAGGAGGATACGTTTGTAAAACTAAATCGACCATGAAAACCTGGACTTTAAATGATAGAAGAACAGAGAGTGAAGGTAAGTTGCACTGCCCTTCAAGTCAGTCATGGGAATACAAATGAGAATTCATCATTTATTTCCCTGAACTTTGCTTACCTCATCGTACAGTGAGCTCATTGTCCATTTGTCCTCATTTTCCAATCACAAGGGATAATGAAAATAATGAGACTGACTTAACAAATATGCCAGACTATACATTCATTGGAGTTTTGACTTTCTTAAAATTGGCATGCAAAATAATTTCCCAACGGTAGCCACCCACCTAAGCTTATGGTTCAATGACCATAGCAGCACCTTCTCTTTTGGAGATTTCTCTTATTTCCTGCAAAACACAGTATCCCACAGTTCTGAGGCAGGACTGTATGCTCAGAAATGACACAATGATTATTTGAATATATTCAGTGGTAGAAAGTATCTTTTTAGTGTTGAATGTTTCAGTAACAGCAAAAAATCTTTTGTAACTTAGCATGCATGTAAAGTAATGAGACAAATTGTCTTTTCTGGTACTGGGGGCATTTTCAAAAGAGACTTTAAAAAAAAAAAACCTTTGGGGAAAATGGAAGCATAATTGGGATATATGCCTGGCTTTCCATCTGGGTAGCTCTGAAGAGATTCCTAAGTTCAGGTATGTTAGTTGAAACTGCTCTTGAGAGTCATCTTGGGAAGCGATGTAAGATACTTGAGGGTGAAATTGCTTGTTCCTTGATGAAATTAGGCACCTACCCTCTCTTTCCTGGAATGAGGCTTTGTTTTTATTTATTTAACGTAAATTTTTAAATTGGGAATAGACTAAAATGGGGCTCTGAAGCTGTTCGTTGCCAGAACTCATTTACATTCTATGTGCTTAGACTTTGAAAATATAAGTCTGGGCACGGTGACTCACACCTGTAATCCCAGCACTTTGGGAGCCCGAGGTGGGCAGATCACAAGGTCAGGAGTTCGACACCAGCCTGGCCAATATGGTGAAACCCTGTCTCTACTAAAAATACAAAAATGAGCCAGGAGTGGTGGCGGGCGGCTATAGTCCCAGCTACTCGGGAGGCTGAGGCAGGAGAATCGCTTGAACCCGGGAGGTGGAGGTTGCAGTGAGCCGAGATCACGCCACTGCACTCCAGCCTGGGCGACGGAGCGAGACTGTGTCTCCAAAAAAAAAAAAAGAAAGAAAATATAAATAAGAAATTATGTACATGGAAAACGAAGGCTAAGGGTTAAATTAAACTAAGCTATCTAGTGAGAAATTAAATGTTTTTTACTAAAGGGTCATTTATAGGTGACGTCTTAGTCTAAATGTTAGTACAGAAATTTTTCATAAGGAAATATTATATAAGCATGTTTATGGTAAAGAATATGATTTTTGGAGATAATCCTGTTATGAACTAAAAAGGGAACTTTTTCAGTCAAAATGAGTGTTTTGATTCTGTTTATTACATACAGATCTCTTTTAGGGAGGAGCATTTTCTTTATCTCACTTATTCTTTTAAAAGCTCCCTTCTTATCACCACCACCTCCTAAGCTGCTTTTTCTTGGAAAATTATTAGATTATACTACGCATATAGTTTGTGACTTTTTTTCTAACGGACGTTGGTAAAAGTCAGATATTGTGTTTAACAGAAATTGTCTGCCAGCAGTATTTACTGCTCTTGACGGAAAAGAACGTTTCTAGAAAGAGGTTGTGTTTCTGTTTGATGGCCTACAAAATGAAATTGTTTGCTACCTGGCACTCTCTTCCTTTCCTTCTCTCTGCGTAACTGCCCCCTGTAGACAGACAGATAAAACAGCAGAAAGAAGAAAATAAAGCAAAGCCCTGTTCCTGACAGCATTTGTTCCCTAGGAAATGATTGAAGCCATCCGCGAAGCAGTGGTCTACCTGGCACACACACACGATGGCGCCAGAGTGGCCATGCACTGCCTGTGGCATGGCACGCCCAAGGTAAGTGTGACAGCACGTGTGCATTTAAACTGTACAAGTCAGGGCCATGCTTTGTCTGCAGGCTTGACTTAGCTGTCCTTAGACTTTTAATCTCCTTTGGTCTTTTCCCTGTTGTTCACAGCGACATTATCTTCCAAAAGTTGTGCCTCAGGGCCTGATGGGAATGAGCCATCTTCTTTAGGCCTACTGTTTCTTCTTTTCTCTGCTGTAGTAGAAACCTTGAAGTTTCGTTAAAGGATGGGAAGAGATCTATCAAGCAAGTAAACATAATATGTGTTTAAGCTTTAGTTTATAGAGGTTTTGGTACCTCCTCACTTAATGATCATACTATGGCAGAGGGAAATGGGAAGGGCTAACAAACAGCTGGCCACACACTGTTCCCATAGGTGTTAAGTACTTGAGGGAAAAGGTAAAGATTCGTGTTAGGCACAGAAGTTTAACAAAAATGATCATTATTTCCTTAGTCAGCATAATTCTGCCTTTAAAAGATAGTTGTACTATATCTACTTTTTTAATGCAGATTTAATTTTGTTCAACAAATGTAGACGAGTACTAACTGTTTGCTAGACTCTGCATTTGAGGACAGTTCAGACCTTGGAAGAAGGGTCTCTCTGGTCTCACTGTGAAAGGTGGCTTCACTAGGTTTGCCTTGCAATTTGCAATTTAATGGTTCCATATTTATGTCTGAATGGATTGTCACATACACATCTAAGCTTGTGATAGTTCTAAGAGAACTTCTTTGGTATATTACAGTTTTTTCATTCTGGCTGCATAACTATTTTTACTAATGAAAACATATGCCACTCAAATGAAAACTCAATAAATATCATATTAAAATGTTTAACTACAAAATACCCTTAATACATAACTGAAAGTTCAGTGAGACAATCTTTCCTTTTTAAGGACAGGAAAGTGATTGTGAAAACAATGAAGACTTATGTTGAAAAGGTGGCTAATGTAAGTATAATAAAACTATGTATTTCTTCAAATTATTTTTAATAGTCAGATGTATTCATGTATATTACAGAAAATTTGGAAAAATTCAGAAAATTACCAAGAAGAAAATTATTGTTTTATTATATTTTTCTGTGCATATACATGTATTTTCATATTTTATCTACACAAAATGGAAATCATGCCACATGCATTCTTTTCTTCTTTTTTAATTTAACATTGAATTGTGATAGTTCTCTACTTTTATTAGGTGTTCTTTGAAAACCTGATATTTACTAGCTTTTTTGGTGAATTTGTCCAGTCGTGTTAATTAAACATGGGAATTACTGCCTGGATACGGTATGTCCATATTTTAGTCTCTGGGTGAATGATGCCAGATTGCACTTCAGAAACTTGATATTAGTTTTCCTTAGGACCAAAACCATAAAAGAAATTAAAATGTATCTTTTTATTTTTTAAGAATAAATTTGCAGTGTGATTATGGAAATTTTGTAGTTCTTTAGAAATGCAGTAACAATTTTCCTAATTTTTTCTGGGGAATTTGTTGCTTCAAAAATAGTGTTTATATGTTTTTAGATATTAAATAATTTTTTCATGCTGTTACTATGGAGTACTATAACTAGAAAATATGTAGTAAATACAATTTTAATTTTTGAGTTATATTTTATATATTTGATGGATAACAGTTCAGTAAAGTTCTAATTTATTGGTGAACTAAAATTATGTAGTAATCAACTACTTTATCCTTCGAAAAAAATCCAGTGAGAACTACTAGCATCTGGTGAATACTTCAACTTGTTTGAAATAGTAAGTCAAACAAGTTAAAATTAATGCTGTGTAATTGTATACTTGACTGTTCTCTTCTATTGGGCTAGAGATTAGAATTCAGAAGGCAGCTAACATTCCTATAACAAAGTGAAATATGGAATTCTCTGATGAGTTCTTTCCAGTGTATGTGATTTTTTTATGATTCATAATTCAATGTTAAATAAATTTTTATGCATGGCATTCTAATTTGAATACTTTACATTAAAATGAGTAAAAACTAGAATGTTAATAGAAAATTCACAAAGGTATTAATAGTATGACATTTTTAAATAATTAGATTGTTTTAGTTCTACATTTGGTTATGTCAAGTAATTCAACACTAAGTGTTTTTGAGAACCTAATTCCAGCATGGCACCATGATGGTAACGGAAATTAGCAATACATGTCTTTTTAAATCTCTAAGAGTTACTTCTAAAGGGGTGATAAACTAACATTACCCATGGATTTGATCCATGGGTTATGTAGAATTATTAATTTCCAAATATTGGGGGTTTCTTGATATACTCTATATTTTGTTCCTTTTAAATTTATTGAGACCTATTTTATGGCCTAACATATGGTCTACGTATTTTGAAAATAATACATTATAGAGTTGTTTGGTGGGGTATTCTATATTTGTCAATTAGATCAAAGTAGTTGATAGTGTTCATACCATCAATGTTTTTACTGGCTTTTTATTTTCTAGTTCTATCAGTTGCTGAGAGAAACATGTTAAAATTTCTAACTATATTTGTGGATTTGTCTATTTCTCACTTATATTCAGTTCTGTACCAGCTTCTGTTGTATTCATCCAGAAATATTTTATGCTTGGTTATGCTTATGTGTGTCTGAGTTAAGAGAACTGAAACCAGTGATTTTGTAGTAGGCACATTGTTCTCCATTTTGTTTACTTCACTTAATTCATATTACGGGTCATTTTATTTCAACATACATACATCTGTCTACCTCACTTGTCTTAGTGACTCTAACATTTCATCATATGCCTGTACCATAATTTATTTAACCAGCCCCTACTGTAGGGCATTTTGTTAGTTTCTAGAATTTTTAAAATTACAATTAGTATTTCCGTGAATATACTCATATGTAAGTCTTTGTACTTACATGGAAGCACGTCTGCAAGATAAATCCCTAGAACTGGAATTGCTGGATCAGGTCATACTTGCATTTTAAATTTGTATAGGTGTTGTCAGTTGCTCTTCAAAGAAGTTGAACGACTTTACATTCTCCACAACATAAAAGTGTGCCTGCTTTTTCCTAAACCTTTGATAAATTAGTCTATTGTCAGAGGTTTTCACCATCGCTTATAGGATAAATGGCATTTCATTGTTTTAATTATTGTCCTTAATTAGTTCCTAAAGCATTATTTCATACATTTAAAGACATTTGTACTTTGTTTTTTGTGATCTGACTTTTCATGTTCTTTGCCCATTTTTAGTTGGTTGTTGGCCTTTGTATAGTAAGGGTGTTAGACCTTTGTTGTTTATCTTCAGTTCGTCTTTTTGACTTTACAATTAGCAACTCCGTTATTGTTTCTGATTGAAATTGTATTATCTGTGATATTCATCAGATCTGGCTCTGAATGATTGTGGGCTATTATCAAAAATCAAATTCCTATCAAAGTTTAAAACAATTATATCAACATCCAGGATACTCGTGTGACAAGCTCTGGAAACAGGTTTTAGTTTTGTTTTGTTTTTGTTCTTAACATAAAGTAGGTGTTTTAAAGTAATGATTTTTATATCATTCTCATTCAGTGTATAATTATACTCTTCTAGTTTATTTTTTTCATGTTTATATTCTAATTTTGTGAGATCACATTAAAGAAATTGAACAATATAGAAAATTAAAAATTATTTGTGTAACCCAGAGATGACTATTACAATACCTTGCCTTCCAGGATTTTCTGTGTACATGTATTATGTATATTGTGTGTGTGTGTGTGTGTGTGTGTGTGTAAAATTGTGTGAGTTTATATTTTCTTTTTCATGATTGGAGTATCTTATATATGTGTTTATATATGTAGGTTTTTTGAACCTAATCTTATAACTTGAACTTTTAAGTATAATTTTCAAGTAGCTATTCATTAACAGTATACCTGTTTACGTAGGTATTAGTTTTAGACTATTTGGTAATGAATAATGTGCTTTAAAAAAAATCAACCTTACCTCTAGAATGAGGTCATGATAAGAGAGAAGGTTCATTAGAATGGCTTTTATTCATCTTGTTTATATTATGTTAGACAAGTTGTCAATGTAGGTAACCTTTATGAAGATATTCTGTGTGTGGAATAAGAGCGAAAATCTATGCACTTGTTTTTAACCTTTACTGGCTTCCAATTCTTGCAGGGCCAATACTCCCATTTGGTTTTACTGGCGGCATTTGATTGTATTGATGATACTAAGCTTGTGAAGCAGATAATCCTATCAGTAAGTAATTCTGATGGTCTTGAATTTAAGTTGCATCGATAAACCAGTTGTGGATGTGTAAGCTTGATTTCACCATGCGTGTGTAAAGACTTGCAGCTGTGCCTTCTATCAATATTTTTGCTTACTTTTAAGTTAATTATGTTTTATTTTGGAGGTTTTATTCCTATATAAATCTCAACCTTGTAACTTGATATTAATACTGTTTTAAATATTTAAGACTGGTCAAATTAAGATTTAAGACTTCTATTTTGGATTAGGATAACATGGTACTTTAGACTATATGCGATTCTAAACTATGGAAAGTTAGCAAAGTAATATTTAGATATGATCAGAAATTAGCATAGTAATTCCTCAGTTATTCCAGAACTCAAATACAAGCAGAGAATATCTGTGACCTATTAAATTCTCTCTCTCCCTGTGGAGAAATAATTACCTCTGCACAGTTACCCAGTTAATCATTACATCTGTGCTGGATTGAGCTGATGGAGAAGAAAAATGTACAAGACTCACTCAGTTGTGATGCTTCTTAGAGCTTTTGTAGAGTCAAATTAAAAGTTATTACTAAAATTAAAACTCTAGCTTCCTTTTTACATTTCAGCAATTCCTTCTAGTCCAGTGTAATGACCATAAAGTGCTAATACATGAATGTAGTGTATTTGTCCCTAAACTTGCCTTCAGAAAAACTAATTGTCCTCTTAGGGGAAGTACTCCAAAGTCAAAATTGCATTCTAAACTATTTGTTTTCTTCATTCTGTATCAATAGCCTCTTTTTCTGATTCTACGATTGTCTTTTCTCTTCTTCTAATTTTAGTGTATGAGTGGTGTTGAGTATATGGTAGAGGTTGCAGCAGGGTGGGGATAAGAAGATACAAGCTTGATAGTAGTGACCAAACTTGGAAACGTCTTGAAAACCACATAATCTGTATAGATATAGGTTATTTGTCTGAAAATTACACAAGCCTTTCTGTTTGATATACATGAATGGGACCCTTAGAGAAATCTTAGTGATGACCAGTGGTACTTTCACATCTGCGAGAAAGAAGAATGTGGATGATTCAAAAAGAGAATTTACCTGTTGTTAGGTGGTGGTGCTATGGTCTGTCTTTGTAGCCCCTCGGGATCAGTAGAGCTGAGTGTAGTAGAAAAAGTATACCAGCTAGTGGAGGGGAAGATTGTTTTCTTAGATGCCAGCTGTAGGTCCCAGTGTGTGTGAATTTCTCATGCCCTTGCTGTCATTTTCCAACTTTACCCTTGACTATTTTAAGATTGTGATGACTTTCTTTGGGATAGGATTGTGGGAAGAAACAAGTTGGCAAGACTTCAACGTTACGAACTGAGTTTTTTGACATGTTCCTTGTGACTTTATTACCCTTTTGACTCCAATCAATAATGATTGTTTTTCATTCCTGTGACAGAGATGTGAGGCCATAGAATTGGCTAATGAATAAAGTCGTTTCACAGAAATGGAAACAGGCTGGGATATTGAAAGTTTGCTTTTGTTTAATATTTTCACGACAACTAAAATTTGCATAACTGTTCCAAATGGATTTCAAGAGAAACCAAATTTCCTTCACGATTTGCCAGAATTGTCTGTTCATTTTTTTCCAAAGATGTATGCCACTTAAAGTTGCTGTTGAAACAGTTTTAATTCCTTATATCACTTTGATTCCCACAACTGCTTAACCCACATTCTTAATGACTTTATCATACTTAGGGCAGCTTTCCCTGAATGGCCTGATTTGCCGATCTCTTGTCTGTAACTGACAAATGTTCAACAGGTTCTGTGTATTATTAAACTGCGTAGCTTGTGATAAAATTCTGGAATGCTAATTGCCCTTGAATTTTTCCCACCCCTCATCTACGATAAAAACAGTTGCAGTATGCAGTGCTTTTAAAAAATAAACAGGAAAGCTTAGTGTTGCTAAGCACTCTGTTCAGGGTACCCAGACTTCCCAAAAATGTCAGGTTGAAATCACAGCCTGGTCAGCTGAGCCTTTCACCTTTCAAAATGGATACGAGCTCTTTCTAACTACTTTACTTTCCTAAATAAACATAAAGTTTCATCCAGTTTACCTTTGTTGTCATTGATACGCAGGCGGTTTGACAGCAATGTTCGTTGGAAAGTAAATAAGTACACTAGCTAATTGCTGTTTGAGGGTGAATAAATATTGATGCATATTTTTAAAGGCATTGTCTTTAAAATATACAGAAAGGTATGAATAATACAGTGAACACCCAGCCTCCCACCACCTGGCATAAAATAGAACTTAACAAATACAGTTCAAATTTAAGCCCTTCGTGTACCCATCCCTGGTATCCTGTCATCGCCCCGTATCTACTATGATACATTTGGTATTTATTATTCATATGCATTTCCTTATCCTTTCACTATATGTAGACATTTTTTATTTTGTAAAACATGTATCTAATTTTATTTCACATGTTTACAAGTTCTGTATAAATGATGTCTTACATGTATTCTTCTGCATCTTGCTTTTTTTTCTTTTGTCATGTTTGTGAGATTTAGCATCGGGTCAGCATGCCTTTTTTATAAAGGACCAGTTAATAATTATTTTAGCCTTTGTGGGGTATATATGGTCCTATCACGTATTCTTGTTCATTTTGTTTTTGTTTTTTAAAACCCTTTTGAAATGTAAATACCATTATTAGCTTGCAAGATGGACAAAAACAGGCTGTAGGCTGGATTTGACCAATGTGCCATAGTTTACCCGTCCACATTCTAAATCATTTGTTTTTCGCTGCCAAATAGTGTTCTATTACATGTGACTATACTGCGATTTATTTTCTGTTTTTCTGGTGATGGATGTTTAGATTGTTTACAATTTTAAAAACTAACTTTAATTCTTAATTTTTGCTAATCCACATCCATGAACATTCTTGTGTATGTCTCCTTGGGACATGTTAAGTTTCTCTAAGGCACTTAGCAGAATCTCTGGACTGCCAGTTTTGCTGCATGTGTTTATATAGAGAGTCATGTGTTCCTGTTTCCCACTCAGCCACTACAAAACCATTGCATTACGCAGTGCTTTTAAAAATAGCCAAGAAAGCTTAGTGTGTTGCTAAGCATTCCATTTAGAGTAACTAGATTTCCCAAAATGTCAAGTTGAAATCATAGCCCGATAATCACTGCTTGTTTTCTGTTAAGACTAAGCTCTAGTGTAATCACCAGATAGTGATCTTCTAGTCAGATGTGGTCTCCCCACCCACTCAACTACTGTAGTCTTTTTCTTTGCCATCCTTTCCTTGAGCAGTTAATCATGATCTCACCCAGGGCTCACAAACCTGCAAAACCTTCATTGACCAGATAGGTAAATGAGTGGCCAGGCCAGGTGTGAGACAAGGAGATGTGGGAGGGACTATAGGAAATGGCGAGAGCACACGCCCTCTCCAAGGTGGTGGGCGCCATTCAGCTCCAGTCCCTGGCAGTGTGAGCTCCATGGCAATAGATCTTCACATTTGTTTTCTTTTTAATTGAGGTAAACTACACATAACAAAATTTACCATGTTAACCATTTTGAAGTATACAGTTAAGTAGTATTAAATATGCTCATTGTTAGGCAATCTCCAGGACATTTTTTATTTTGCAGAACTGAATGAGGCACTGTACCCACTAAACTAGACCTTCCAGTTTTTTTAGTGCAGCTGAAAAGGTAGACTTTTGCAAATAGTCAACCTGTTTTCAGAACAAAACACTCGGGAAGCTGCCTGATGATCTAGCCTGCCCTCTGTAGTTCTGTTAGCCATTAGTTAAATCTCTTAGTTTTAACTTTTTATTAACTGTCTTCCCTCTTCACTAGATTTTAGGTTCCATATAGTAGTCTGCATTTCTTTTTGTCCCCACAGCAAACTACCGTAAGAGTGGACACCACAGGCTCAGTCTTCAGCACCATGGATGGGTTGATTTTTACATTTCTAACCTCGACCAAAAATGCATACACATGTGTGCATCTTTTATTTTGACCTTTACCCTTCCTCTTTAAAAGAGCATTGGCAACACAAGAGTGCCAAGGTATCTAGCTAGAGGTCAGCACAAGGCGGTCAGAACTGGCCAAAGATGTCTTCAGAAGGAAAGTCTTTGTAATTCCCATGCTTTCTTTGTTTACTTGCCTACTTTAGAGCTTAAGAAGAAATCACAATAAATGGGCCTTTGTGAATTTTCTGTAAGTTAACTCTTGTTAGGAGTAAGCTAAGCCAGAACCTTTCAAATTAAACAATTTTTGCTATTCTTTCTCTTGAGGGTGAAAACTCATGACTCAGCTAGCTTTATTTAATCTCCATAGTTAAGGAGGATATACATATTGAGAGGTATGTTTTTCATATGAAATAATTATTTTGTGACAGCTTTCACTTTGCGGTGTGACTTTTTCTGATTTGCTCCTAGTAATAGCCCATGCGTTAGGCAGGTCTATCATTTCCTTTTAAATATAAGGGAATTAATATGCAAAGAGGTTAATGGATTTGCCAAAGGCTACACAGCTTGAACTCAAGACCCCAGAGACTAAATTCTGCACAAAATTAACTATGCCTTAGCTGTCTCTTACCTATTTATACATGTTACTGGAATTGTTAGTACACACTGTGTGATAATCCAGAACTTCCCCATTTTCTCTGTAACCCAAGTTAAAGAGAAGTGAAGTGTATAAGTACTCTTTCAAAGATGTGTGTTTTTGATGGTAAGGGAAAGCTGGAATGAGGGTGATCTGGGGAAGGATTAAATGATACTACATTTTTTTTTTCTGATCAATAAGGTGGGTTGAAAAATATTACATTTTGAAGTAAATGTTTTTTAGTTTTTTGTAAAATTGCTATTTATAAACATTGGCATTCTTTTAAAAGCCTTAATTAACTATGAATTTAGATTCTAAATTCCTTAATTACAAACCAAAAGGGAGTAAAGTTCAATGAATTTGAGAACTGGTCTGAGTAGTATTTAAGCACAGGTTTTATGCGTATCATGAAGTCCCAGTTTCTCATTTTATAAAACAATTTCTGCCCAAGCCATATATGTCGGATTAGTCCCTAAGCGTGGAAGCTGTGGAGAAAGCTCGCTATATGGAGGAATACATTGCCAGCGTCATGCCTCCTCCCTATACCAAGGGAAAAAAATGTTAAATAAAAGTGAAGAGTAGCCATTATAGTTGTTCACTACATACAGTTTTTGTTTTTTCTCAAAAAAAAAAAAAACATTTTTAACGGTGTTATATTTCAGAATCATTTTGTTAAGGGCCGCGAAGTTTTGTTTCAGTTTTTTTTTTTGTTTTTTTTTTTTTAACTGTAGAAATTGGCCCAGCCTATATATTATTCTCACCTCTTTCTTTCAACAAATTAACAAAATATATAAGAAATTAAAGCGTTTGTCCTCTTTTATGAGTTGGTTAAAGCTTAATATAGGTACCTAAAGGTACAGTAAAGGCACACTCAAGTTACGCCATATTTGGGGCGCTAAACACTTCATTATCAACAACACATAGATTGTCCGGGTGCGGTGGCTCGTGCCTGTAATCCCAGCAGTTTGGGAGGCTGAGGTGGGTGGATCACCTAAGGTCAGGAGTTCAAGACCAGCCTGGCCAACATGGTGAAACCCTGTCTCTACTAAAAATACAAAAATTAGCTGAGTGTCATGATGCATCCTGTAGTCCCAGCTACTCCGGAGGCTGGGGCAGGAGAATTGCTTGAACCCAGGAGGCAGAGGTGGCAGTGAGCCAAGATCGTGCCACTGCACTCCAGCCTGGACAACAGTGAGATTCCGTCTCAAAAAAAAAAACATAGATTGAATTTACATTGGAGCTTGTTTGCCTTGAAAGAGTTCCCTACCTTGTAACAAGTTCTGTGTATTTTGTGTGTGTGTGTTTTCCCATTTATTACTGAAATTTTATGTTCATTTTCCCTGGGTGCTTGAAATTACATATTCATTTTGAGGTGGTTAGACCTATTGAATTTTCAGTTCTCTGAAAACTTTTATGTTTTACATGGAAATCTTTATACTGTGATCTTAGACTTCAGAAGTAATTAGGAGAGCATAATGAGGATCAGACTGCTAGAAACAGGACGTAGTGGTCAGAAGATTATGTTAGATGATCAGTGCACAGCTCTCAGTAGTGCTTGATTCCTAGCAAGCACTTAATGAGGGTTAGCTACTGTTATCAGAAGCATGCTATACTTTTGTGCAAAAAATGAGGGAAGGTTGGGATTTTAAAAAGAGAAACATGGTGTTTGGAACCTGGAGCAGCATCATCAGCTGTAGGATCATGACACAGCGAGATTCATGGTCCCATGGTTGATGGCTGACTTGATTTTGAGCTCGGTTCCTTACACTGAAATTGCTAATCTCATCATAATAAATAGGCCCTTTTAAGAAGAGCAGATCTGAATGTGTCCTCTCAGAGAGAATCCCTTTCCTTAAGAGGAGGTTTTATGTTTGAAAGAGACTGGATTTGGAGTTGGAGAACCAGGACACTGCCACTGTGAGTCCTCTGGCAGGTCCTCTCCTCTTTCTGGATGCCTCATCTGTAAACCTGGCCAGTTGGACAGAACTCTTTCCGAGGCCCAGCCAGTTCTAAAGAATATGGGGTGCTCAAACATGCATTGAATACTTGTAAAGTTTGTTACAAGAAATAGGAGTGTCAGAGGTGGGGAAACAAATTGATGACTCTTCTGTTGCATCTTCTCTATTAAGAATAAAGGAATTTTTAAAAATTTTCAAGTGACTTCTCTGTCTTTGAAAACATCAGATTTACACAGGAGTTTAGTTAGGTTGGGGATGACATTGCTTTTGTCCCTTAAATTCGAACAACTAGAAAAGGAGGTTACTGTTCTTGGGTATGTTGATTGGAAATGTCATACAGTGTAAATTTGTAACTGCTTAGTTGAGGCTTTCTGGATTTGGTTTCCCCTCCTCCTCTGTTTTTGTTTTTCATTGCGGTAGCTAAACAGCCTTCATTTGCCATGAATAAGCAACCTAACTTTAAAAGCCTTTATCCACTTGTTCGATTTAACAGAGTTTCTTTATCTCCTTTCACATACATCCCAGCAGGGAAATTCTAATAGAAATGTTCTTCATTCATGCCGCTGCTACATTTAAATGCAGCTGCAAATTAACTGTCTCTACTCAGTGACCTCAGCAAGTGATGTCCCTCGTAATAGTGGCCCAAGAAATACTGGCCATAATGAATGAAGATAACACCTTTAAATATTTTTTAAGTCCTTGGGCTTGGTCAGTTAATATAAATGAGTTGTTCAGTAATGCTAGTCACAAAAGAGAATTGATTCTGTGTTCTAAGTGTAAATCTCTGTGTGCTTTAATGAGACAATTTCAGAACTAGCTCCACATTTTCCATGAAGTACGCTGGGAAAAATAGTTAAGTATGTCCTTCACCATTGAAATTCCAGGCATACTTTAAGACTGTAGATATCAATTCTTTTTGTTGTTGTTGTTGCTGTTTATAATTTTATAGGACATTGTGCTCACTTCGGCGGCACATACACTATAATTTTATAGGAAATTATCAGTTCCTTGTTTAGCATAGTAAATGACAAATATGGAAGGAAGGTCCTGTGGTACTTTTTTAAGAATGCAGATATTGATTCTTCTTTTTGTTTATAATGTTATAGGAAATTATCAATTCGTTGCCTAGCATAGTAAATGACAAATATGGAAGGAAGGTCCTGTTGTACTTACTAAGCCCCAGAGATCCTGCACATACAGTACGAGAAATCATTGAAGTTCTGCAAAAAGGAGATGGAAATGCACACAGGTAAAAACAAGTAGAATGGCTTGACTTCTTTATTCCTCTGCTCTGGTTGTCTGCTGATGTTGAATAGTGCATGCGTCCAGAAATCCACTTATGCCTCTCTCTAAAATTGCTGAAAAGGTGAATTCCATTTTCAATCCTGTATTTTTGACAGATTCTTAAAGCTTTTATCTTGAAAAGGAAACAAAAGTGTCGTGCCAAAAGAATACCTCTGAGCCCTTGGCACGTAGTAGGCATTCAGGTGTGTGGTTTGATTTTTGTTTTGCTTTCTTTTCAAAGCTACCGATACCACGTATTTGACTACCCTAGAGTATGGTGTCCATACAGCAGTGTAAACGTGTTGTTTTGTGGGTATGTTGTTTGGTTTTTGGATTTTTTTTTTTTGGTATTACACAAGCCAGACTCCCTTTATTGAGTGCTTGTTCTGTGGCAGGCATTATTCAGATCGCGGGACAGAAATATTTTTAAAAACAGATAGAACACATACTCAAATCACTCACTGTCTACGTGCTTAACAGAAAGATAGACAATAATAATAGAGTGTGATACAGTCTGTGGTAAGCTCTTAGAGGTTTTTGTGATAATAAGATCACATTTCCTTTGCGATTTATCTTACCCTAATACCCCATTCAACATATTCAACAGTAAGAAAGATACAGAGGTCCGCAGACGGGAGCTCCTAGAATCCATTTCTCCAGCTCTGTTAAGCTACCTGCAAGAACACGCCCAAGAAGTGGTGCTAGATAAGTCTGCGTGTGTGTTGGTGTCTGACATTCTGGGAGCTGCCACTGGAGACGTTCAGCCTGCCATGAATGCCATCGCCAGCTTGGCAGCAACAGAACTGCATCCTGGTGGCAAGGACGGAGAGGTAATGTGCCGTTAAAGGCCAGGCAGGAAAGCTGCAAAGGCCACAAAAACTTCATTTTTGGAGGATGCGGGGTGTCAGTAAGAAAACTGGGGAGGGAGATGCCTGTTGAATAACAACAAAGAACCTCCCACAGCAGCAATTACATTCATCTTTAATTTTCTCTAACCATCTGGGTCAAAGCCTGGCACTTGGGAATGTTTTGCAGACGTATATTTGGTTATGAATGAAATCATTGCCAAGTATTGAATGCCCAAGGTGCTTCTGACACCTGAGATTGGGGAAGAGAAGATTGGGGAAGAGAAGAGATCTTAGAGAAGCCCTGGCTCCTCCTGACCATATTAACAAATGGGAAAGATGAATGCAGCTTGAAAGTTTCGCTAGAAGGAGACTGAGCCGGTTGCCTCCCGTACTTGCTAAGGAGAAACCCAAGTAACTGGGAACGATTGCTATTGCTCTTGAAAAGGAGTAAGGTTGAGCTGAAGAGATGCTTTCTTGAGTTGCTCATCGGATAATCCCCTTAGGTAGTCAGGTGTACTTAAACAGCATGCAGCACTGGGTTTTGATGTTTCTGCTCTAGTGTTCTGTCCTGTAGGTTTATTTGTGTCTGAGAATGGCATATTTCAGTCTAAGACATGATTGGCATTAAGATAAGTCTTGTGCTGCTACTGTTCAGAGCACATTTCATGAAGCTGAGACTAAAGTGCTGTGCAGTAGCTGTGTTATCCGACATAACCGTCTTTTGGTCTGGGGATTAGAATAGATCTCTGGTCCCCCCAAGTATGATGGTTGTTCTAGATAAAGACCTCTTAAGCCTGTGGAACTTTAAAAGTGGCTGAGTCCTTATCAGTATGTAGTGACATAAATTGTATGTATTCATTCAAATGTATTTGCATGAATGAAAACAGCTTTTAAGATTGACTGTTCTTGACCCCTCATAGCTTCACATTGCAGAACATCCTGCAGGACATCTAGTTCTGAAGTGGTTAATAGAGCAAGATAAAAAGATGAAAGACAATGGGAGAGAAGGTAGGCTATGAAATTTGACCTTTTCTTGTATCTTATATGGAATTCCAGTAATTCCTGCCATCCCTGAACTTTATACCGGCCATTTAGGCTCAAATGAAGTTTGTTGAGTGTTTAGAAATGATGTCTGTGAATAAGAAATGATTCAGTGGTTGCTGGTAATGCTTTTTCCCCTAGAAATGTGTGCCCGAGAACTCTTTAATTTTCTTTCTTTTTTCCACCCCCCCTCACTCTCTCTGTTCTCCTTCCTCTGCTGCTGCAGGCTTCTAACCTGGCTTGGTCACTGCCTTAAAATGCCATTCTAATGAGGATGGTGAGCGGGGCAGGGGGCCCCAATTGTTGAGTATCATTACCTCAGTAGAAAGGCATGATATTTATCTCTATGTTCGAAGAAAGAATAAGCAGAGGAAGATTATCCTCGTAAGAGAATTTTGGACTAGTGCCTGTTTATTTGGTATTGAAATACATGTGACCAAAGAGTAAGCCAGTCTTTGGCGCTTTCTGTTTTTTTTGTAAGCCTTACAGCTGCTCTGTAGAAACTCAGCTCTCTAGAGAAGGACAGCATTAGCATTTGCATGCCATTCCCCTCTCAGTCCTATCTCCAACCAGACCTTCACTTAGGAAATCCAAATTGCATCTGGTATTTAAACCACTAGAGAGATTTTTTTCCCCTAGTGAATTAAAACAGTTTGGGCTTTTCATTACAATGACTGAAAAAAAAGTGACAGATCCTGAATTCATGTCTTACGGCAAGTGGCAGCTCTAATGGCTAGTGAGGCAATCAGTATAGCAGTAGAGCTGTCTCTTCTCACTTTACCTTTAAGAATGGGGACCTGGGGCTATTTTTCACTGAAAATTTTTTTTGTAAAAGAGAAGCCTTGTGATGAATATTAAAGAAAAACATAACATATGGAATCATCTTTTTCATTATTAAAAAGTTAATGTATAGTTGAGTTTATGCCAGAAAAGTAGTGTGGCTTAACGTCCAGTGGTTTTTATCCCTCTTAATTAAAATGTGCTGAGAACCCTAAAATCTGCCTGTTTGGGTCTGATGTGTTTGTCTTGCCGTATTCCTATAGCACCAAATAAGTTGGTCCTCCTGCATGTCTAGCTATTTTGATTCTCTTTTACTGTATAGTCTTAAAACGTAGTAATTTTCAAAACAATGACTTGATCAGGCTCTGGTGGAGCTTGCCTCCTCTGTGCTCAGAGTCAGTCATCTAAGGCTGCTCGGTTTGTGGCTGGAGTGTCCACTTTTTGGAATAACTCAATCACATGGCTGGCAAGTGAGTACTGACTGTTGACTGGAGATCAACAGCTTCAGTTTCCCTTCCTAGGCTGCTTGGGCTCCTGCACGAGATAGTGGTTGCTTTTTTAAGAGTGAGCATCCTGAGAGAACAAAGTAAATGCCTAGCACTTCCATGATTTATCCTTAGCAGTCATTTAATGCCACTTTCATCATACTATTTTGGTCAAGTCAATCACAGAGGCCCCTCGTGATTCAAAAGAAGACATGAATTCCCCCTGTAGATGGGGGAGTGGCTGCATTGTAGAAGAGCACACAGGACAGGAGATATTACTGTTGTCAGCTTTGGAAAACAGTTTGCCTCACTAGGTGAACTCTGTCCCTGTTTAGCAGGTACCATGAAAGGCTGAATAGCCATAGGCCTCTTGACGTTTAAAGAGTCCTTACATTTAGGTATCTGAACGAATTATGTAGTACATGCTACCTGACTATGATGTTTGCCGTCAAGATAGGTTGTCCCTACCTCCATCTACACTAAATCTTAGCTATCAGAATTTCTCCTGTGTCCAAGCATTAATTGCACAGTGAAAAAGATAATACCAAGACCTTGGGAATCAGAAGTACCAGAATAACAGGAGACAAATGGTATTTTTGGTTTGTGAGTATGTAAGCGTTGTAAAGAGAAATGCCAAGTGTAAGCTAGAACAATCATTTATCAACCACTGTTGAACACGTGAACACTGTGTTATGTTCATGGCACCTTCTGAGTGAAGCATTTCTCCACGAGGAAGAACTTGATTTCAACCAACCATGAGGTGCTACTGTGAAACATTTATTTACTGAATAGCTTTCAGGTCAAAGTTAAATCGTTAAATAGTACAAAAAAATGCAGACATAACTCAGTGAGTGTTTTATTAGAATTCATTGTTTATCTTGAGTAATTACTGCTAAACATAGCCTAGGTTTTGGATCAGAGTTAAAAGAAATCGCTCTTTTGAAAATGCATTAGATAAACCTGCACTGAAATTTTTAGTGTTAAAAGGGAGACTGGGTGAAAGCTACTTTTATTAGCTTTTTTATTTAAAAATATTTGCACGTTTGAGGGCAGTAGAGAATGGGTTGGGGAGTATAAATCTTATTATATGATGTTCACTAAGCTTCAGTATATTTTACAGGTTGTTTTGCAAAAACTCTTGTAGAGCATGTTGGTATGAAGAACCTGAAGTCCTGGGCTAGTGTAAATCGAGGTGCCATTATTCTTTCTAGGTATGTATTTCGTGTGCCCTTCTCTGAGCAGGGCCTGGTCATGCAAAGACATACTTCCTTCACATTGATTTCTCAGTTCTGATATTTGTTCTCAGTTGTCTAGGATTACTTCTAGTCAGTCATGGTCTAGACAAGCATACCAAATATTAGAAAGCAAATGTAACTCTTTCAGTCAGTCCTTAGAATTTTTTTTTTTTTTTTTTTTTTGAGACTCCATCTCACTCTGTCACCCAGGCTGGACTACAATGTCACAATCTCAGCTCACTGCAGCCTCAACCTCCTGGGCTTAAGTTTTCCTCCCACCTCAGCCTCCTGTGTAGCTGAGACTACAGGCGCATGCCACCACACCCAGCTATTTTTTTATTTTTTAATTTTTTGTAGAGATGGGGGTCTCCCCATGTTGCCTGGGCTGATCTCAGACTCTTAGGCTCAAGCAATCCTCCCATCTTCATCTTCCAAAGTGCTGGGATTACAGGCATGAGCCATTGTACCTGGCCCTTAGGATTTTTTAACTACCATCTTTTTGACAAATTATAACATTCACAAGATATCAGGTGGCTTCACCATGTTTATGGTTTTGACAAAAACATAATTGTTTTTTTTTTTTTTGAGACGGAGGCTCGCACCTTCGCCCAGGCTGGAGTGCAGTGGTGCGATCTCGGCTCACTACAAGCTCTGCCTCCTGGGTTCATGCCATTCTCCTGCCTCAGCCTCCCAAGTAGCTGGCACTGCAGGTGCCCGCCACTATGCCCGGCTAATTTTTTGTATTTTTAGTAGAGACGTGGTTTCACTGTGTTAGCCAGGATGGTCTTAATCTCCTGACCTCGTGATCCGCCCACCTTGGCCTCCCAAAGTGCTGGGATTACAGGCATGAGCCACCGCACCCAGCTTGTATTTTTTTTAATGAATAACTTATGTCCCTGTGAAAACTGACAATGTTGATTCTTAAGTCATGCCTAATTCTACATGTAATTTCCTTCATTGTTTTAAAAGATTCTAAAAGGATTGGAAGAGCATTTGCTACTGAAGTCTGTATGCTAATTGTTGATATCTGACTTAAAATGAGAAAAAAACAGTGATGAACTGTGGCCTGTTTTGTATTATTCTCTGAACTTAGTTGAGTTTATCAATCCACACGTCATTGAAATTTTCCAAACATTCTATGTGCAGATGAAAACCTTCTGTTAAGAGCATTCATTTAAAAAAAGATTTGTATGTTGCCTTGAAGCAATTACTGTTGATTTTTCCCCTGCTGTGTTATTAAGGTTTGGGAAAACAGATACCAACTCTAGTTTGAATTTCTCAAGATATTTCACTTGCAACATGCTATGCAACCTAATTTATATTGTTTGCAAGTGTTATTTTAAATGTTTCTTCAACATATACCTGATCTGGTACACATACGCTCACAAACACACGCAGGAGCGTTCATATCTTCAGGTATGTCAGTGTCTCCCAATATGTAAGTGTTACAGATCATTTTGTTCATTTCTGCTTAAAATTACTTAATTTTCCAGTTGATGTCAAATGGTCAGAATTCATTAGCTGATACATGAACTTTTTTGTTACAAATTCTCTTACCAGGCATTTGGAGTATTAACATCTACTGACACATTCTTTCTTTACACTCAATTAACTGGAAATTTCAGCAATGCCATGAAATTAATTTATAAAGGATGTTCATCAATCAGAACTCCCATTAGGTGGATTTCAAACATAGGAAGGATACTATAGGTTTATTATGGAGCACTACTTAGAATTGGAACAGGAGCACAGGAAATATTTGAAGTTCTAAATGGAAGTTGAGCTATATATAACAATAATACAAAAAATTGTTTTTGTAAATTTTAGGTGAAAAGAAAATCAGCCTTGTATGTTGGCTGAAAAGTAATTCAGAGAAACAAAATTCTCTATCATTTGGGAGTATTGGCTCTTGACAGACTGCCTGGGTTCCAGCTTAGTGCATAGCCTTGGGAAAATTCAGCTTTCCTGGGCCTTAATTTTCTTGGTGGCAAAAAAATGAGATTAATCATAACCCTATGGTTGTTATGAAAACTAGATTGGAATGATGCATATAAAATGCCTAGTATTATGTCTAATATGTGGCATATGCTTAGTAAGCAATAACTATTATGTGTTATATAACTGTGTGTTTAGCCAAGATGCATGAAATTAAAACACCTAGTGAGTCACAAATTCATTACAAGGGAACTTTACTTTTTAGCGTCATAGGTGGCAAGCTGAATCTGTTGCTTGTCTTCCAGAAGCAGTAGAATACTGCTTGGTACTGATCATTTATCCTCCTCTTTATTGACATAATGGAAGTTATTGGGACCAGGGACTTTGGAAAATACCAAGTACCTCATTTCTAGAATGTGTTTCAGAGGTCCATATTTACATATGGTCCTGAAAAAGAAGAGAACAGGAAATTCAGGCCTGGTGCTCTGCAGTCAGAGCTGTACGTCCTATTCACAGAGAAATGGGCCCGCTGTTACCAGCGTCTAGGGCTCCCTTCACTTTTGATAGGGTACTCGGGCAGGGTTTTGGAAAGCAGAGGCCGAGGTTATTTTGTTGAATGGCTAACATTTATTGAGTGCTTACTAAGTGTCAGGCTCTGGCTGGGAGCTTTAGATACAAGGCCATTTGAACCTCAGAAAACAACTCTGTGGTAGAAAGTGGACTCTGTTGTGAATCCCATTCTGCAATTCGGGAAACTGAGTCTTAAGAGAATTTAAATAGCGTGCTCTTGGTTGTACAGTTACTGAGTGGTAGAGGCAGGTTTCACACCCAAGCAGTGAAGCTCCACAGTGAAGCTCTTCGCCCCTTCACTAAACGTTAGTGCTGTGGAGTTCAGTGAGAAGGCTGCTAACTCTGACCTCTCTGTGCCTCTCTTCACACATTTTCATTCAGCCATGTGGTGGGCATTTTTTGGCTGTCTGCTCTATAAATGTAGCATCATGAAATAAATAAAATACGGTCCCTGCTCTTGAGCTTATAATCCTGAGATGGGGAAGGGAAGATAGAATACATGTAGAATCATTTTAAGACAGATGTAAGTAAGTCCTAAGATAATGTGAAGGTAGAACCAACTCTGTATGGAATGCTGTTGGTCCTGCAAATGTCTTTGCTTGGGTGACTCCACCAGCAAGATTCTAAAACATTTTTTTCCATGGCTTTATAATATAAGCTACTGGTCCTCATCATTCATCCTTTGAATGAAAAATAATGTGTATATAGTTACAAGGCTTGTCTCACAGTTAACCAAGTCTTTTATACTATTGGTACAGGTAGTATTGGAGATGATGTAGAAGTTCTTATGAAATTTAATTTTTTTCCTCTCTTCAGCCTCCTTCAGAGTTGTGACCTAGAAGTTGCAAACAAAGTCAAAGCTGCACTGAAAAGCTTGATTCCTACATTGGAAAAAAACAAAAGCACCAGCAAAGGAATAGAAACTCTACTTGAAAAACTGAGCACATAGGTGGAAAGAGTTAAAAGCAAGATGGAATCATTTTTTTCTGTTCTCTGTTCTGTTTCCCAATGCAGAAAAGAAGGGGTAGGATCCACCATACTGGTAATTGGGGTGCTCTGTGTATATGTTTCTTCTTTGTATACGAATCTATTTATATAAATTGTTTTTTAAAATGGTCTTTTTCAAAAATCTCAGCTGTCTCCTCGGTTACATCGAGTAGTAAGCATATCGTGTGTGAGGCAATTAATGTGGAAGGTTTACCAATCATATGTGGTGGGACCAACCAAATATATAAAGTGTAGTTGAACGAGTTGATTCAGGGGAGAAGACATCTTCAGTGAGCATAGTCTCAGAAGGCTTCCTGGAGAAGGTGGCACTTGAGAAGACTTTCATCTTGTCAAAGGAAGGCAGGATGTGGAAAAGAAGAGCCAGGGGGAGTCGTGGGCACAGTAAAGTGGAATTTAATGAGTACCGGGGGAGCGGGGGGTCCACAGCTGCCTTCCTAGCTGTCTTATGGATTAGGTTCCATGCTAGATTTTGTTTGAAAGCCACTCAGGTAAGTTAAGCTCATAGGAGGAAATGTGCTACTGGAATTTTCTGGTCTATCATGGTGAGAATGGACTCACTCCTCTCCATGCGCTGGGTGTTCCACGTCCATGGTTCTGCTGCCTTCCCTACTGCTTCCTGTTCTTCCAGATACTTGGTGCTATCTCTCACCCACTGTGGCTTCTCCTCTGTTTACTTTGTTCCTGTGAGTTTATACAATTTTATTTTTCTAGTTTTATCTTACTGTTTCTGGAAGGAACAGAGATAAACTCAACAATGCACCATTTTTAAGCAGAAATCCACAAATGGCTTTAAACAGATTGAAAACAACCTACCTGGCTTCATGGTGGTCGTCTTTTCCATGGATGAACTTAGCAGATCTGAGAATGTCTTTTATTTGAAAATTCAGCTTATTGTATTTTCAGTTTGCATCAAACCCTGCTTTTCCTAGGAATCAGCTGTTGTTAGAAGGAAGGAGAACCCCATTTTCCCTTGAAGTCTGGTGTAATAAGCATTTGCATAACAGAATAAAGGCCCCTTAGAGGAAATGGCTTCCTACCTGAACAAACTCAAAGGACTGGCTCTTGAAACATGAGATGGCACTTCTGTTTCTATTTCAGTGAAAATCTGAAAAAGTTACATATTAGTTTTAGCAGATTAATCACTTTTAAGATTCAGTCTGGCAAATTTATGGATATATGTATTTAGAATAATGGTTAAGAGAACCCAAGATCACAAAGTAGCAGCAGTTAGTGTGGAGCCCGTAATCAAACTATTTCTAGGCCAAAATTAATGACCTAAACAAACATAAAAATTTGAGATTTGAGCTCTTGTCTTACCTTTTGATAGTGCTTAACCTAAGGAAACTAAGTTTATGATCGTCCTCATCTTTTCTGAACCTAAAAACACCACCACCAGAGTGCCCCAAGTCTCCTTACTTCCCCAAATGCGTTAGTAAATTTTTTAATGAATGGCCTTAACCAAGAGATACGGTATGCTCTTTGGATTGAGTGTCTTCTAGGAATAGTAACTAAATGGCTGCTCTGCATTCCAGAGTGTGCAGACAGACACTGGTTGCTATGTATGTTTGTACCCATGACAGTGCCCTGGATGATACCACGGATAACACCCTGTAGAAGAACGGTGTTTGGAATATTTTTCATCAAAACGTTTTATCCAGTTTTTAAACATGGGCTCATGCCCATGGCTGAATGTAAGTGGGCACATAGAGCTGCAAAATTGTGGGAATGAGACATTTTGGTCTATGCGCTCTTGTTGTTAGGGAGTTAATTGTACCTTGGGAGGAAATGATTAGCTCTTCGTTGTGCTTGATATGTGATAACTACGTGAGGGAAAGGTGAGAGGAGCCTGGTAAGGTCATGGGAATCATCTGACTTTAAGCTCCTGATGACTATAATTAAACATAATTACTAACTTAGATATCTTAAAATGACTTCCAGATGCTTGACAACAGACTTTCCTTTTAGATGAAAATCCTCTTGCATTTAAAACTTAGGTTCTTACTGACTTGATGTTATCACATTTAGCAGTAGGCAGTGATAGAAAAACTCTGAATCTTAAAGACCTGTAATAGCAGGAATATCCTTTTGAAGAAACAGACAAGACATGGGTTCGGTTGTTCTTACCAGATCAATTATTTGGCCCCATTGTATTACTCGATATCTAAGTCTAGTTCTAAATATCTGTTGGAATCTGCTCTTTTGGTGATAATACCCTGCCTGGCACCTTTCTGGAGGTTCCCCTCCTCCTACATTTGAGTCGCCTTTTTGGTTGGAGTGGAATTATGATTTGCCTCGACCAGTGGCATGTGACTCTGGCCTCTGAACCACAACACTCTCTTGGCCACCGTGATTAATTAATGAAGTGTACGTGTCCCATGGTAAGTTGAAGAGCATTCTGAATTTGTATCACTTTGCTTCATCATTTTGACTTTTGCACAGGTGAAAAGTCGTAAGTAGGCCAGGTACAGTGGCTCACACCTGTAATCCCAGCACTTTGGGAGCCCGAGGTGGGCGGATCATTTGAGGTCAGGAGTTCAAAACCAATCTGGCAAACACAGTGAAACCCCATCTCTACCAAAAATACAAAAATTAGCTGGGCGTGGTGGCAAGCACCCATAGTCTCAGCTACTCAGGAGACTGAGGCAGGAGAATCGCTTGAACCTGGGAGGTGGAGGTTGCAGTGAGCTGAGATCGCGCCCCTGCACTTCAGCCTGGGTGACAGAACAAGACTGTGTCTCAGAAGAAAACAAAATCGTAAGTTGATCTATTATAAATCAGGAACAGTCTGTACTCTTAATACTAAGAGTAGCACCATATCAGGATCTGGCATGAGACTGAAACCAGAGCACTTACAGTTCTCTGGCTAAAACACTGTTGAATGTACTAACATCAAGTCAGTTTCTGGAAGAAAAATGTGAAAGATGCTCTCCCTTATTCTGGAATCTCAAACTTAGACTATCACCTGGGCTGCCTGCCTGTGTGTTACTATATTTCATCAATTCTACATTTTTATTTTGCGTTTAACAAATCTTTCAGGATTTGTTAAATCCTGTATGCCACTTACAGTCAGTGGCATTTTCACATGACCGTTGATAGGCAGCTTTTTTTCTGAGTGATAAAATAGTGTTACGTCTTAGAGGCACAGTGTTACAGTTGGTAAAATACAGTTCCATCTTTTCCTCTCTCAAAAGTTTCTCAGTCTCCACAAGCCTGGTTTGCTTTTCTGTAGTAGCTTTTCACCCCTCAAAAGTTTTCTTTATTGCTGGACCCTCCGACAGATGATCGGGGTTAGGATGAGGTGTTTTCTGCCACATAGGTCACACCCTTTTGGAAAATGAAAATCAGGTAAAATTAAAGGCAATATAAAATAGTGACTGGGAGCACAGGCCTGGAACCACATTTGAAGCCTGGCTCTGTAGCTGGATGATCTTTGTAAGTTACATACCCGCTCTGCTTCATTTTCATCATTTTTAAAATGAAGATACTCACACTTCGCTGTGTCTTTGTGAGGGTTAGGTTCCCCTCGAGTTTTTTCCCGTAAAACATTTCAGCAGCTTCTGCCCCTACACATAGTTACAGTTACATTTTTAAACATATATTTGCTAAGAAGTCACATAAGAATACCCACAAATTCATTACCACTTTAAAATATATTATTTACAATTTTGAACATCAGCACTATACATTTGAAAAGTAGTCAAAACATGAGCCTTCATTCCCTTGGCAGCTGGTGCTTGGGCTAAAGTTGGGTTTGCAGGCTCCTTGTAATCATTTCTGCCAATATAGATTAGGAAGCAAAAGGTGAAAGTACTTAAACCAAAATGGGGCTGCTTTTAAAATACAAATAACCCTGGTGGAATAGCACCACTAGCTGTCATTAACGCCTTCTTGTGAAGTCTATCAACTTGCCGAGGTAGATGGCAGAGAGTTAGGTTAACAAGGGAGTTTGTTTCTTGGGGCAGGAGAAAGAGGTGAACTGAACTCACACCCCTATTAGGTGGAGGTACAGCAGAGAAATGGGGGCTTCAAGTTGTTTGCTGGTCTTGGCATCCAGAGATGAAATCTGGGTCAGCGCCAAGGGACAAAGTGGATTAACTCCAGGTGATCATTATGTGGAGGAACTAGCCTTTGACTTGTTTGGGGCAACTTGGACATGAGTTGGCTTCTGTCACTTGCTAGGCAGGTGATCATGGTCCTCAGTTTCCCCATCTATGAAACAAAACCACCTGCTTCGTGCGCCCTCAATTTGCCAAGGGTTTTTTAAACCATAAGCTTCTCTACAATGTGAGGGGTTGTTGAGAGCAGCATCACAGTGAAAGCCCTTGGTGTTTGTTATCAGAAGATCTGGCAAAGCCCTTGGTGTTTGTTATCAGAAGATCTGGCTTTGCAGATTGACCCTGGTTCTGACCAGGAATGTGGGCAAGTCACAATCTTTAGGAACCTCTATTTTCTTATCTGTGAAAATACGGATGATACCTGCACATCTCAGGAGGCTGGGGTCAGAATCAAATAAGACCATATGTGAAGATGCCTTATAAAAACATTGTGTTTATGACTCCCCAGATAGATCCAAATATTCCTTGCCTTTTTTGGTTCTCAAGTCACAGGGTTGTAGTTTACAGATTATAAAGAAAAAAAATAAAAAGACAAAAACAAAAAAGCTCTACTACCATTAAGTAAAATTATCCAAAGCCTTCAAATAAAGCAAAAAGATTTGTCCCATTTAAAGACATGCTAGGGCATGGTCTGCAAAACCACAGGGCTGTTTGACTTTCTGGAGGGGTGTGATTTTGTTTGACTTGCTCTTCTGTTAGGGCCCAGACTCTGGGAAGGAGGATAATGCTGAGCAGAATATCAGTAAATTGCAAATGATTTCTGCCCAATAGTAGAGACAACACCAGAAATTACAGTATTGCCCTATTTATTACCTGGTGTTAATCTAACTGCAATCTTATTCCAGTAGACTTTTCTTGAAATGGACATACAGAAAAATGTACATATATAACACAGTCCACCGTATCCTCCTTTGAACTAGTTTTACCTGCTTGTTTTCTCATGAATGAGTTACGTAAATATTTGACATATATTTTTGTGAGAACCGTGTTTTTAATATTC